AAAAAATCGGCCTCAGCCAGCGTGCGTCATATTTCACATTCGGACACCACAATAGACAACCGCCGGCTGGCCAAGGGGGGTTTAAGGGAGCCCCGATGTCGGGAGAAGCTTAATAGGGAACATCGAGCGAGAGCCCTGTCCCAGACATCCAGTTGCTGTTCTTGAGTCCCTTAACTCAATACCAGCCAGCGAATGATAGCCTTCTTCAGTTTTGCCCATGATGTGGTGCTGCCATCAGTTTGTACGCAGACCATCTGGCAAGTGAGTCTGCTTGGGCTATTTTGTCAAACACGTTGGCCAAGCGCATGCTTGTCGCAATTCGAGCGGGGTTGCAGATCATCCCAGCACAAGCACTTCTAGTGATTAGAGAAAACGCAGTCACCCTGGAAGGGAGTAACGCGGCATCCTTGCGACCAGCTGGTGTTAGGCCCCGTCTCCGTGTTCGTCGCTTGCTTCGCGCAAGTCTAGTCGCGCTGACAAGCCTAAGGGTCACCCCCCGCACTGGCCCTCCAAAGAAAACTTACAGCTACCTCTGGCAACCTTCCGTGTTGAACGTCTTACATTTTGCTTTCGATCACCCAACTGCACTAATTTGAGAGTAGATGGCTGAACCCCAGGGGCAAACAGAAACGGTAGATGGCACATCGGGCCAGGGTGTCGTTGTATAATAGTAGGTGGCGCGAGTTCTTTTTGAAAACTGGAACGGAGCCATCTACCATCGACAAAAATCATGCGTTTCAATCACCTGCGCCGTCTATTTTTAACAGCCGATAACTGGTATGTTTCCGAAGTGGTTGGGTCGAAAACCTTTTGTCAGATGTTGATCTGAAACAAATTTGGTCGTGGCATTGCTGGCCCCCCCGCTCCCTTCCGGCCCGGCAAGACAAAGGTGCTGGCGCATGTTTTTAAAGTAAGGAGGGGGGCAGGCCCAACTCCTCCGGCCCCGCCCTCCCGCCTCACGCTTGGGGCGATCTGGGTGCACAAGGGGTTGGCGATGGCAAAGGGTTGGTGATAATCTCTGTTTGTCAAGAGTAGACGGCACTCCCGCCTGATTTCTTGAGCCATTTACTCTCAAATCAGAGGGGTTGAAAGTGGTCACACAGGTAGCCACCGACCAAGAGGTTGGCGCCAAAGGTGTTTTTGCAGGGCTCCGTAGTTTCTTGAAATCGCTAGATTCACAGAAGAGCACGCAATCTCATTGTTTCATTGCTCACCAGAAGTATAAGACCCTCTTCAGATCGCCTCTTGAAACCGCCAGACTTGTCTAAGACATGTGCCCTCTTGGATTTCCCGCGTTCCCCCTTTTTAACCAGCACTCAGGTGGCTCCAATGTTGTGACAACAGTCTGCGTGGTTGACCCGGGATGGGCTCAAAGCTCATCTCAGGTGCCCAAAGGCCGGCAACTTATTCGGGACGCCAAGGCTTCAACCTTCACGTGCACATGCCCGACTCGGATCTGGCACAGTTGACGCCAGTGGCCACTCTGGAGTTTATTGCCCAGAACGAGGACCAGAGCGGGCCGATGGACGGGCCCAGATGTGTTTTTGAATGTCCCCAAAGGGGCCTCAGAACACATTTCAAACGCTAATTTTGCCAGTGAATGAATCAAGTGGGACGCTTCTGGTTTTTCCTCGTGGGGTTGTGAGCGAATTGACGGGAACTGTTGGTTGTGTTTTTGTTTTAGCTTTTTGGCCCAGGTACTACTTAAACCCAAAAGGTTGGCCTATTTCCAAGTCCTGTGAACAAGCAGGCTAACTCTTCTCAGCGCTTGCTTCCTCCTAGCATGTTTCTATTCTTGAAGTTCCCCTTGACCAGCAACGGCCAGCACTTGCGGCGTCTATGCAGCCGTCGCTCTCTGCGTTTTTTTGTAGCTGGCCGCACGTTACGCCCTGAACTCAAACCCAAGACAGAGGGCTTGAGGGCAAGTTCAACCCTAAATCTAAACCTCAAACTGAGGGCACTTTCAACCTAACCGAAGAAGGTCCACGACCAGGAGCCTAGACTGACCTGACAACCCCTGCCAGCACGGCCCCCATTCTCCTGAGCCGCGCACCCGCAGGGCCGCAAAGTGGACAAGTGGGTCTGGGTGAACCAAGCATGCTGCCAGCAACAAACAAGCTTCTTGCAGCATTGCCAGGAGATTGTGGGTGCATGGGCTGAGGCACTGAAGGACTGGGCGCCAGTCTGGTCGTTCGGGACGGAGTTGCGCTTGGACTGCCTTCCCATTTCCAGTGGTCAAAGTGACAAACAGGGGCTGAACCAGGACTTTGGAAGTCGTCAAATGGACAGTCAACCAGTCCCACGCAAAACGCGCAGAACAGTTCCGGGACGGTAGGCCTGTTTCATAGGGTCCACCCTGCACCATCCAGCACCCCCCGCCCTTTGTTATCGGAAGCAAGGGAGGGGCACGTGGTGGGGGGGGGGGGGTGTAGGTTCCATCCAGTGCCAACAAGGTTCTTGACGGTTTCAGGGATTCTGAATTCGCATCAAATAGTTCTGTTTGTGTGTGTGTGTGTTTCTCCCCGTCATTTCCTTGTTGGTGGAATTCAGTCCTCCTGTTTTGACACATTCCCAAATAGATGAAGGATAATAGCGCAGGTAAAGTCGGTGCTTTTGTCCGGCTCAAGCAGGCCACGCAAGTGGTAAGAAGGGTTGCCCCGTTTCCCCCAGCTTTGACAAATCCTCTCAGGAATGCAGCAATCCACACATCTTGGGTTAATTGTGCGGTTTCCACAGACTTGTTACACAGTGTTTAGAGGGATTTATGACATATGCCACCAATCAATTCATTTAGGGATCAAAGCAGCTAAGTCCTCGTGGGTTGGCCTTCCAAGCTGGCTGTTTGCCCCATCTTTCGGGGGTTTTCCTGCTGGGTTCCTACGCGCTCGGGGTTAGAAGCCAGTCTTGGCTTCCTCGGGCTGTCACGGGTCCGATGGGGAAACATTGCTGCAAACGGATGGCGGACAAAGGAACAGGAGTCTCCACTAGAACGACGAAAAATGTGAGCGCAGTGTTTGTGTGTGTGTGTGTGGTGTGTGGTGTGTGTGTGTGTGTGTGTGTGATTTTTTGAGGGTGCCCTTTCTCAGGTTGGTTTGCAGGGATGCCACGAGGAAAACCTGCCTGTTTGGGTCTCCCGGTGTTGACACAGGGTTCCTCTTACCGTTCCTCTTACCCTCCAAAAAGGCGCACCCACACATGGCTCCGTATGATTTTTCATCAGAGACACTTTGCATCGTTTAGGTGGTGGTTTGTATCCTTGCTTCATACATAACGCGGTAGAAGTTCCTCCAGTGGTACTTCTTAGCATGCCTCCAGCCCTGGAAACATGCTTTGGACATCATTTGCTCCACCACAACAGCTTTCCAGGTTCATTACACTTTGTTCTGGCCACACATGGGTGTGGCCCCTTTTTCTGGGGAGTTGGTACCCCATGTTTTTTAACGGAAACCAGAAGGAAAACCACCACTTCTCAGGGGGGCGGGGGGTCAGGAGGGTCTCTTGAAGCACCGTGGTCAGCGCCCCATGGGCCCTCCACAGACTTCGGCCTCTGGAGTGGCGCTGGCATGGCTGGAATGGCTCCATGGCCGGCACCGGTGGGCCTGTCCTTTTTGTGGTGCCCCTTTTCTGGTGTTTTTTGTTTCTTTGAAGGGAAATCCCAAGGAATACCATCACTTTGGGCGTCACAAAAAAAAGAAACGGACCCAAATGGGTCTGTCTTTTTTTGAGGGGAACCCTTTTGGGTGTGGTAAAGGGACCCACCATGCTGGTGTTTTGGGTCCCCGAATGTTGACACATACCTAAATCCTGGCTTGTCAGGCACTCTCCAGGACGGGCTGGCTGCGGAGGTATAGCGAAAAATGCCACTCAAAGGGTACACAAACTGCGCTGTAATGGCTGATAATGGCCGTAAATGTTAAGAGTTGGAACAACCTTACACGTGGTCACACCTCTAAAAGCTGGATGAAATTACGAAGGTAGGGCCTTGGTACAGACACGGCCGCGCCTTTTCGTCTGTCTGTTTTTGGTGACTAGGGTCCCACTCGAGTGGTCGCTTGCGAGGACCAGATCTGATGGCTCATGCCAGTTCCCAGCCTCGGGTCTGTTCGAACGGCTCTCTACAGCCCGTGCTGAAGACAAGCGCAGCCCAAACACCAAACACGTAGTCACTAGAACGCCGGGAACTGAGAAGGAGCCGAGTTCATAGAACACAAATCGGAATCCCTCTTTGTTGGGGGTTGATGAACCATTTCCCTCCCTCCTGCCAACAGTTGAAAAGGACATCGGTCGAACCCGTCGCATTCATGAGCTATGCTGTTTCGGGATGTAATGCTTGGTTGTTTTACGTTCCGCGTTTAAGGACTCCCCGTAGTTTCCTCGAAGGTCTACTGAGTTTCCAGACCCAATACCGTGGATGGTTGCGAAGTCCGTGTGCACACAACTTTGAAACCATGGGAAGCTATTGTTTGTTGGTGTTTCTAGTGTAATCATCATACCAGAGGTTTCTGAACGGTGGTGCGAGCTGGATTTCGCAACCATCCACAGCATCAAATCGAGTTTCTCTAGCACCAAGAACAAACCAAGACCAACTGTCTACCCATTTGATGAAACAGTAGGGCTCGCAGCATCTCCGGATTGTTCTGAGATTATTAACAAACTTCCATTTGCTGAAGAACATTTGTTATTTTCTGTTGGTTTTAACGACATTCTATCACAACTGGAGATATGTTTATGTTAAGCAACTGGAAGTCAAGCAAGGGAAGTGCCCGTGGGGTGAGATATGGGCCTCAGTGGTGGGTTTGAATCAAGCGGAGTTGGGCCTTGACCACAAATGGGGGTGTATAGGCAGTTGACTTAGCGACGACCGCTAACAAGCAGAGAGAACGGTGGGGAAAACCAAGCGAATCCAATCGAAATCTGATGGACAACTGACTTGGGAAAAAAGTGGAGACAAGAGCTGGCGATTGGGAGCTTGAGCGCTCAGCCATGGCTTGATATGATTGATGGCAAGAGCAGCGCTGCGACTAGGTCATGGAGGCGGGGAATTTTCCAGTTTTTCAGTGGCACCCTCTAAGCCCCTTTTGACGGCTCCCCCACTAAAATCGTCAATCTCTAAAACGCGTCCAATCCTTTTTCTACCAGTTATATTGAACAACTGGGATATACTTACCGGTTGAAGTGTTTGTTGGTAATTTGCTTCATCGTTTGTAGACCCAAACATTTCAAGCAGGCTTTGAGCATTGCCAGATCTGGCTTAGATGCGTGACGTTTTGCAATTTTCGGATCGCTGCATGCTGCCTTCAAGCTAACTGGTTGCAGGGGGTCAAAGTCCTGGTTAATTTTGTTCGGGGTGTCCCACTTTACATGGACTCCGAACACTACCATTTCCCAGGCCTTTTTCAATTGGGGTGAACATCAACTGGGGGTTTGTCCTTGGGCGCAGTGATGTTTTTCCGGAGGTGCTGCTCCAAGCTAAAAGATGATCAAGAGGAATTGAGAGTGTCTCCTGGTTCAACAGGACAAATGTCTTCCCTTCCGGTCAAGTCTCGGACCCCCCTTTTCAAGGGTCCTTTTAGACTTCCGAGCTCCAGGAGGGCCTGTGCATCTGTTGGGCGCTTTGCTTCCCTTGAAAGTCCACCCAACAAACACCACGGTGTCAGGCCAGGGTAGACTCAGGAGTTTTCCTTTTGGAAACCCAGCCATCTCTGGGTCTAACTCTTTCTGGGGGTAGACAAACAGTGGAGCCCTGCACGGTGCTGTTGTTTCCCTCCGACCACTGCAGGTTTGGGATTGACGGCGTCCATGTATTTCCCACGCAACTCAAGCAACTAACCCCGGCATTGGCAGAACCAGGGACTTCAAGGCTTTTTTAAATGGGTGTGGGTCAAAATTAAACCGGCAGGGGACTGCAGATTTTGGTCCATGTTTCCACTGACCAGATTTTGGGTACCTATTTTTGACCCACAGCCAAATGTTGTTGTCTTCGAAAAGTGCCTAGAAACAACATGGGGTTTCCCTTACGAAGTCTGGCCCCAAACCAAACCGCCTAAGAAACTGAAGCCAAGAGGGTTTCTTGAAAAGGCGCATGGACCAGACGTGGGCCTCAGGGTCCTTCATCGGGCCTGCATCCTTCGCATGGCCTGCAGGGTCCTTCAGGTGACCTTCGCCATGTTAAGCTTTGCTGCAAATGGAACAGAACTCACACATTTGATGTTTGGTTGGGCTAAAAGCTGAGGTAGATTCGTGTTGCGCCCGCAGTTGCTGTCAAAGAGTTTGTCGCTTTCTGCAAAGAACAATAGGCGAATGCCGACCTTCCGAATTTGAAGAAAGCCTTTGGAGGACCGGGAGGGCCAAACAAATTGGACATGTTGATGTACACCAGAGATTTTCAGAAGACTGAGAGAGGCATCATGACGTTGGCCTCCATGTTTCTTACTATTCTTGTGCCCACTGCTACCAGGGCATACACGGGTCTAAGGGATAATTTTGGTCATTGGTTAAACTGCGGCGGCTGCTTGAAGGCTTTCACAGGGAGGTTCTAGCCACACCCCGGGCCTTGCAGATTGGGGTTTAGTTGGATTTATGACGTCCACAAGAGGCTTAACTTTTGGCCAGGGATCAGGAAACCATTACGCTTTTTTTTGGGGGGGAGTGGGGGGTTTTACCAGCAACAGCTAGCTATGCTTGGGAGAGATGCTGCGCGGGTTGATTTACGAAAAGTTCAATTCTGGTCCGCTGCCTGCCTCGCACCCGCGCATTCTCATAATCTCTATAGGCTTGTGATAGTTTGCGACTAGTTCGGGGCTTAATGACTTTCTTTTTGTTCATTTGGAGGTTGCTATTCTTACTATGTTGGCAACCAGCGAGTCGCGCATGATATCGTGGTTGGGCTGGCTAGCTTTCATTCACCTGCCCTCAAGTTGTTAAGCGTCTACTGATTCAGCAATAGTGGTTTGAACAGACAAGGCGGCCCCACACCGGTGTGTCCGTATTTTGTGTTTCTGTCGTGGTCTCTTCTGGTTGCTTCTCGAGGTGGTCCCGTGTGTTCCAGTGCCAAGTGCGTCGAGCAGTCCATGCTGCTGCGGAGCTACCTGGATCTGAGGGAAGACCCCTGTCAGGCCGGGCTTGATTTTGGTGCTCTCGGCCTTTGGACGGGCTTACCGTTAGTCATGACTAGTTGGGCCAATTTAAAGCAAGGGGTAGGTTTTAGGTGGGAACATAGGGACATGAAAAAACAGACTGCCACGCCAAAGCCTGCGACAGTTCTTATACATGGCGTGAATAAAGACCCTATGCTTAAGTGATCCTTGATCATCTCGAGGTTGACTACCCTGCACCACTTTGAAGGGAAACCAGTTTTGTTGGTATTGACGGGGGAATCGAGCCATTCCATGATTTCTGAAAGGAAGTGCGAACTGGATTTCGTCCATCCACAGTATGTTGACTGATATAATATGGACCCCAAGAAGGTCACCGGAACCAATGAGAGCCTATCCAAAATTAGCAGTAACGGCAAAAATGACAGGGGCAACCACCCAATCCGCTACTGTCCCCCACTAGCATTCTTTGTTGCTCATATATTCAGAGGTTTCAACCCCTCACTCCCCACAACCGCTCCTGCCCAAAATGAGGACTTGTTCGGGAGAACACCAAGGCAGGATCCCATGATATTCCAGCTCGGGTGACGCCTAAATGGGACATATGTCAAGATTTCTCAAAAACCTTACAGGCAGTGGTATTGTGCTGCTTTGGCACGGGTGTGTGCAAACACGCCTAGCAAACAGGATTTTGTCAGTCTTGATCGGCAAAACAACCTTATATGAAGTATATAGTATATACCGCTCACCGTTTCTGTATACATGATCACCCCCTACAAAACAAATAGGATGCCGGTGCTTCCCCCTGTTGTGCCTTGTTGTGGTGATGTTCTAGTTCTGTTTTGATATCATACAGGGGTAGATCCACAGATTCACCGCACACAGCATGTTGTAGAATCCCAAAATGTTTTCGGGATTCTTTGACAGGACTTTCTGCGAGTACCTACCGGTTGAACAGTTCAACACCCCTTTTGGATTGGTGGGGTGCGCCTGTTGTAATTATCACTCTAGAAAGTTTTGTTTTTCCCTAAACCCCCATTCTAGTTGTTTAGCCAGTATAAGCCTTAAACCAAAACTTAGCCTCTATAAATAGGGGGGTCTGTCGTTTTCGCCGTACCCGAAAATAAAAGCGTAAACAATCACGTAAATAAATCAAGCTTTCTGGTTGGCCTGGCCCTTAACAGGAAGAGTCCGTAAATAATATGGTAAATAGTGAGGTAAATTAGTTGTAATTCATTTTCGCTTGCCCGATCTTGAGTGAGCCTGCGTTAGCTGGACTTAGTGTCCCTCATGGACAGGGATGTGTATTGGCAAGAATCTTCCCCTTCGCGAATTTAACCTGCTCATATCACTGAAGGAAGGCAAAGCGTCATGAGTCATGAACCATTGGAAGAGCCGCGACAACTTTGACATGAATGTTCATGCGTACTGGTAGCTGCGAGCCACAGTTTTTGCTCGCGAGCATGTGTCGCGTTGGCAAAGCCAAAAACCTCCGGACGCAAAAACGCGTGCGCCCATGCTTGCGCTTGGGTTGCGTTGCCATGCTAATAGGCAGCCAGAACCCCCACCAAGATACATGTCAATTTGTGTTTAGTGATCATGAGAAAGGAGGTGTTGTAGGAACCGAGGACTAGGAACACTGCGTCTTGTCAAAGAACGTCCGGTATGCCCGGTCATTGGTTATGTCAGCTGCGTGAACAACATTAAGAATATTTTGAGGGCTCTTTCCAACAATCAAGACTTAGTCAGCTTTTTGTTGGGCGACCTTGCGAGGGCCAATCTTGAAGAACATCAAGATTAACGTCTATATTCCCAACATGCACCTGGCGCACAGACACACAGACACCACCCACACACACAAACACACATGCACACACGACTCTACGAGGTGTCTCCGCGTGGCCGCTGATCCAACCAGTCAGGAGTTGCAAAGGACGATTTTAAGCTTTGCTTTGTTGCAGCTTTGCTTGCCGCGTTGTGGTACTGTCGCGCGTTGTTGTTTGTTGTTTTCTCTTTGCCGCGGCTTCGCCTCGTTTGTCCGCAAGACCCAGGGAATCCAAGAACTGATTCCAGAAACCCAGTTGAGCAAAGGCCGGAAAAGAGGAGCGATCAATGCTGTCACATGTGCACGCAAGTTCTGCGGACGGACCTCCATGCTCAAAATGTGTCCCCTGAACGGTTCAGAACGGTTCAGCCAGCCTTTTTCTGCGTAAATGGTTGCGTAAATTTTCGCGTAAATTTCAGACAAGTCTTTGCCTTTTTGTGCTTTGAGATTTCGGATCGCTTTCGATGTTCCGATGCCGGCCTGACCTTTTACCTAGGACTAGGAACCGCCAGCCGCGTGCTCGCGAACCGTTCCGAGGAACGGTGGCAACCAAACTGCATGCCCCTGAACCGTTCTGAACCGTTCCGAAAGCAGTGGAACGCGTGCCCCTGAACCGTTCTGAACCGTTCCGGAGGCATTGGAACCCATGCCCCTGAACCGTTCTGAACCGTTCTGGAGCCCATCTAGCAAGCAGCGCACAGAGCAGGCGTATAGTTCAGAACCGTTCTGAACCGTTCTGAACCGTTCGTCACTCAAGCTTCCCAGGAACCGTTCTGAACCGTTCAGGAGGGATTGCAGCATCATACTATGAACCGTTCTGAACCGTTCAGCAGTCATGGCAGCAGCATACCCTGAACCGTTCTGAACCGTTCAGGAAGAATTGCAAGCAGCATGCCCTGAACCGTGCTGAACCGTTCAGGAGGGATTGCAACATCATACCCTGAACTGTTCTGAACCGTTCGGAGACATTGGAGCTGCGTACCTAGGAACCATTCCGAAGATTGCAACAGCATGCTCAGGAATTGCCCTTGCTTCTGCTCACGCATGCTTAGGCTTACCAACCACGTGTTTAAGACCTAAGATGTTTGGCCTCCTAACATTCGCACGGTAGCTGCTAAGGATTTAACAAAGATCATTCAATCAACACCTTGGGCGCTTGTTATGGAGATGGGAGGGGCGCGTTGGAGCCTTACCTTCTTTTTGCCAATGTTTTGCCATGGGCTTGTCTGATTGTGCGCCTTTTCTGTCTGTTCAGGCCTGTTACATGGCAAATGATGCAGCTTCCAGCTTCCAACACTGAGGCACACATTGTTTACATGATCTTTTACGTGTTTCTTTAAGGCCTGTTTTTGTTTACATGAATACTTACATGAAGAGTGACGTGGTTTGTTACATGACTATTGGCCGGTTTTAACCTCCACAGAGATAGAGGCTAGGTTTTGGTCTAATATAAGCCAGTATAATATGTGATCAACTGTCCATATTTGACATGGGGGGCGCTCGCCAAAATACCATTAGACACAGCTGGGGGTGCAAACGCTGGCTCATGTCCTAAAACCTAGGCTTTTCAGCTTCCTGACAGACTTTATGAAAGTATTTGAAAGCTTCACCAAACTTGGATAAACTCGGAGCTCTGTGGTTGCAACTGGACGCAGCCAGCCCTCAAAACCGCCATCGGCCATGTTAGCAGGTTCTACCTGGTCTGTTGGGGACTATAGCGGGCCTTAGACGTTCTTATTTTTGTCTTCTGCCAGGTTCTGTTCTGGCCAAAAGTCCATGGGTGAAACGGGCGAAACGCGCGCTGCTCCTTGGACCATTTCAGGACTTCATGAAGGTCGCTTGCAGCAAGGAGAAGAAGCGGCGCTTCGCAGAGCGCAAAGTCAGCTCGGAGTTTGACGCCTACGTGATGGCCACCGAGGAACGGCTGAAGGGTCGGTTGCAGCCAAGGGGAGCGCTCTTAGAGGGGTGCCGGGGTTTGTGGAGTTTTTTGGTTGGTGTGGGTAACATCTGCGTTGGGGTGGGCTTGGGCCCCTTTCTCCCGTTTCGAAAATTACCATGAGCTATCGTCAGCCATCCTTTTTGTTGGTTCCTGTTCCTTTTTGGGGATTGGTTCACTTGAAAATTGTGTCCAACCAACAAAGAGTGTCCTTTTGCCCGTCAGTTTCCAGTGGTTGCAACTGAGGAGACGTCCGGCCCGCGCAAACTGCCAAATTGATCGTTGTTTTTTGTTTTTTCTTGAAATCAACCCCAAAAAGGTGTTTTTCAAAATCAAAAAACGCACGCCCAGTTGCTCCTGGATGAACAAACCCCAAGGCTACTTCGCGGAAACAAAATCCTTTGGCTTGTTGCCTTGCCTTTTCCAAGGATCAATTTTCTACCCTTTCGCCGCTCGCGTCGAATGCGAGTATCTCTAGTTCAGAGTCTGAATGTGTGAACCCATTTGTTGCCCTGGTATGAACTCGGAACTTAAGGAGCGAATAGCCAACTCTTCTGGTTTCGTTGTGTGAAGCTACTCACTTCGGAGCAGCTAGGTTATAGAACCGAAAGTCAATGGCTCGTGCTTTCCTTCAAACGTTTCGATGTGTTTACATGGCGGTTTGCCTGGTTCCCTGCATTTACTTGCCTTGATTGCGAATCAATGCATGTCAAGCATGGTTCTCTTTAAGAATCGTGAGGAAGGACAATTGGTGGCTTGAAATGGGAACCCAGTGCACGGCAACCACTTGCCCTATCCCTTGGACTTCCCATGTTTGAGCTTCCGGAAGGCTTGGTGCCGTGTTCGAGGTTCTTTTGAACCCCACAGTTCCCCCTGGCTCGGTTCCCATGCCCGACCTTTAGCTTAGGGTTTGGCGGTTACCGTTTCCACTAACCCACGTGAAACATCATCTTAGACTTTTGGGTTTTGGTTTGTTGGGTTTCCATTTCACCCACGTGGAGAGTTACAGTCACTTTTTTGCAGATCTGAAAGCCCATGGGTCAAAACCAACATGGTACAACTGCTTGGGCTGGGTGAATTCACCATCCATTTTAGGACCTATTCTAGTTGGGATTGAATCAGATGTTCACTGGTACGTCTCTTGCGCTCGCGACAGGCCAAGCTGCGTTGGATAGACCAGGAGCTGGTGACGGCCGAGACCATGGGCAGCCGCATGGAGCCACTGCTCTCCGCGGTCAAAGAGGCGCGCGGCTCCGAGCCATCCGAGAGACGAGCCGAGCTTGCCAGTTTTTGGGTTCCGGCGTCGTGAATATGGCCCCCGGCTTTCAGACGACCCAACAAGGGCGAACACACATGTTCTTTTTCTAGCAGTTGTCACATTTAATATTTGTTCCCCGCCTTTCAGGAGACAACCAACCAAACAGCATAATTTGAACAAACATCTACCAGGCTGCCTTCTGGGTGTGTGTTTAGTCTAGCGTGTTATCAAAGACCCACCTTACTATCACAGCTCAATTATCCTGGACCTGCAGATACCATTTTCTCTTTTCGTTTTTGGCGGCGTTTCCCCCAAACAAGTCATCAGCCCTTTCATGCGCCTTTCTAAGTCAACGGTGAACCTGTCACTGAAAACCAGGGGATGTTTTTGTTTGAGGGTACTGGTTTTGGTGACCATTTTGGGGGGTGTCCCCCCAAGAAAAACAATCGCGTCTTCTTGTGGCAACCTTTGTAATTGTAACCGTGGCTCAAGGGCAAAACCGAGAGCAAACCCAACCAAGAAGGGGTTCCTGACACAGACATGCCAATGTTTTGCTCTGAACAGTGAGTTTGCCGCCTTTAAAGTAGTATTGGCTCGCAGTCAACGAGAACATGGTCAGGCTTTAAGGGGTCATCAATGTGTCAACATTATAGCCTATGTGAGTGGGCTCAAACATGCCTACTAGCAAGAGGGTAGTCACCACAAAAGTGATCAGATTCCCACTAGAAGGACACAGGTAAAACTTTTATGAGCGAAGCCCTTGACCGTTTGGTTTCATAGAAAGGCCTCGAGGGATTTGTATCACCATCTTAGCTTTGTGGCTATTTGGTCGGATCTTTGGACTTTAACTTTTCGGGAAAGAGAGGATTTCTCTCATATTATTGTCTTTGCAGAGGGGTCTCGCCAGCAACCAACATTTACGGTATGTGTCAGGGACCCTAGACATGGTACGTGTTGTTCTATTTTTGGTTTCCCGAAACAAGCCAACAAAGGGTACCCTCAAAAAGCAACAGATACTTAGTTCAGAGAAGCCTTAGTTGGTGGTTTAGATTGGTGGTTGGGGGATTTGAGCCTCTGGTTCTTGCGGGTAAATGGAAACCGCCCCTTACCCACTAAATCGAAAGCACCAACTAGGGGGAAGCTGAACCTTGATTTCAAGGGAAACCAGGTGTTTCCAGCTTTTTTGGGGGTCCACGTCCACATCCCCATTTTGACACATACCCATTTCTCCACCATACCCTCCAGAAGCAACAGCAACCAATTTAGTTTCTTGTAACACCGCCCCAACCACCGGTATCCAAAGCACCAGCTAGGCGGCAGCTGATTAGAACAAATCCGCCAGGCCTATGAGGCCTGCATGTTGCAGACGAGCGTCTCAGACGCTGACCTCTACCCCTCGGCCAGGCGAGGCATTGCAGAAGTAGACAGGGCGGGGGGGTCTGAAATAAGGGGCCCTTCAATATCAAACCGAAAGGGAGTGGTCCTAGAAACCGGCAATACTGCAGAGTATGGTAGGTGAGTCTTGAAATGATTTGGATCTCCCCTAAAACGGCGTAGCGGTTTCCCATGTTGTCTTCCGTTATCCGTACCTCCAAAACTGCCCTTGGTCTTGGTCATGGCAGGTCTTCCCAATTCCGAGCTAGGAAATTATGGTAAGATGCCCAGTGAATCAAGCAACCATTGACAATGGTTCCAAACACACGACCCATGTCCGCAAAGGTCTTGCATCGGAACGGTCTATCATTCCAAGCAAGCCAGGGATGTTTCATCAAGGTCTCTTAGCAATTGGTTGTTCAATCCGTATTGTGAATGGCGCTGCAGGTTCTAGGATAGTTTTTGGTTTGGAAGCCACGTTTGCTTGAGCCTGCAGCAACCAGCAATTTCCTTTTAAGAGACCGTGATTGACACTTGCTTGTTCTCAGAAAATGTCTTGCTCTTTGGGAATAAATCCATAGATCAAGGAAGAAACACGGGATGCTTCTGGGTCAGTCCCTACTGAGACCCGGCAAAGGGTGTTTCTCCAACAAGGGGCGCCCCAAACTCCAAACAATGCATGTGTCGCGTTGGTGTCCCTCGTTAAAGCATCAATCGAAAAGAGGTTTACCATTTTGACAATGACCCCAACTAGGAGTCTCCTCCAACAAAACGTATATGGCTGTGGGTCAAAAATGGGACCCACAATGGAACCCTGGCAGACGGAAACTTAGACTAGAACCTGTGGTCCCCTGTTGGCTTAATTTTGACCCATACCCATATGAGACGCACAAGCATGATAAACATTGTTTGGGAGTACCGGATGCAGGCCAAGACACGGCCGCGTCTCGGCGCAGGGCCTTCCTGGCGCACGGATTGCCTCTCAGCCGCGAAGAGCTGATCCTGCAGAGCGGCTTCGCGCGCATCGCGCCCAAAGAGGAGAGGATTGTCGCGCCAACATACGGTGAATGGACGAAACCCTGCCCTGCACCACTTTGAAACCATGGCAAACCATACACGGGTTTTTGCTTTTGGCCTCCTACTACAAGAACTCCCCAAATGGTGCCATCGACAAAAGCGAGAGTCAAAGTGGACTGAGGGTTGCTGGCAGGTGGTCTGCCACATGTGTGTCTTCTGTTTTTTAAAGGGGATTCCCCAACATGGTAGTTTTCCTTTTGGTTTCCCTGTAACAAACTAGGATAGACTCGAAAAACGACACGCCATATTATTTAAGCCTAAGCAACGCTCTTTTTCGGTTCCCTTCGCCAGGCCTGAAAGTTGAAACAAGTCTTGTGCAACGCCAAAACTGTTGCTGCCTGAAGCGGGCAAATGTGTGGCCAAAGCAACCGCTTTCTTTGGAAGGCTCCTTCTTGTTTGGTCACGGGTTGGGAAAACGTGTTTTCTTCGCACCATGAAGGGGAGGAAACATGTGTTTTTACGACCACGCAGGCAACAAGTTAAACTTGTTGAGCAGGGGGCAATAGCCCTCAAGCCTTTGGCTCCCAGGGATAGCGTCTTTGGCCCCTAAATTTGGGCAAACGTGAAAAGCATGGAAACGGAGTCTAGTAGACCAGCATAGATACAGTAGACATGGTATTTAGATAAGCCATGGTTTATGTAGTCTCCCCAAAAAAAAACAAGAAAAGCTGGAGGTGTGTTTGCGGTGACGCGCGTGGGGCAGCTTTGTGAAGAACATGACCCTTGTTGGCCATGGGTCTGAAACCTCACCCTGTTTCTAGCTCTGGCTGGATTTACGGGACGGATCGCGCATGGTCAGGGATAGATGACCATTTAACCACTTTCCAATGGATCGCAAGCGGTTGCAAAACGGAGGTGGCATTCACCAGCCAGTTACTTTCCATTCAGGTTCGCTAAATGATGCCCACAGGGTCCACGCACTTAAAAATCACACAAGTCTTCTTTACAAGGATCGTGGCACCACTTTTACGCGAACCCCGGAATTTAAATGGAATTTGAATTAGCCCCCCCCTTTTCAAGAATAGAAACCCCCCCATTTTTGGTGGGAATCCTTGGGAAGGAATGTACATGTGTCAGGACCTGGAGATTTGGGGTGTTCTGATGACGCCCCTCTTCGCGCTGGGCGTCTTCATGGAACCCGGAAGGCCCACCCTTCGAGAGGTGGACTTAGCGCTACGAGCCAAAACTGCCGTAGCTCATCTTGCTTTAAGCCCCTGGCTGTTTTTGGGTGCCTTTTGTATTGATCTTGAAGGTGCGACAGATAGGGAATGACCCGGGATGTTAAAAATGAGCTGGAAGGGGATTCCCTCAGGAAACCATGGGGGATGGTTTGCAGTGGTCATAAACTCATTCCCTGAAAGTAATTTTCGGCCTTTCTGTTTGTCCTTCATTTTCCCTGACCAGCAACAAGTTAAGTGAGGCGAGAAACCACTACCTGGCCCTGCCATCTGGGCCGTGAAACCGCCAATTCAAATCATTCCAAACGATGGCAGCAGCAAACCTCGAAAGGGGCTGCACACAGCCAAAAAGCAAAAGCAGCCCCCCCCAAAAAAAAAAACAAAACAAACAAGCAACTAAAAGCAAAGCCCAATGAATAAATGAACCTTCCTGGAACCCTTCGCGAAGCCACCCACAACAGCAAGCCCAGGGTTTGCGTTTGGACTCCACGGCTGACCCCGGGGCTTTGTCCCGGTTCCCCCTTGACTTTCTCCTCAAAACCCACACCAAAACAATGGCGACCCTGAAAAACGGCGCACCCAACAGCGCGCGAAAATCCATCGCCCGAGGCAGCCCAAACCAAACCAAAAGCTGTCGGAGGCCCTCCCGGGGCCTGCAGCTCTTCTTCCTCCCAGCCGCCTGCCCCGAGCTGGGCACGCGCCTTGGAAGGAGCTTGGGGTCCAGGGCCTTTGGTGGATCTGCACGCGCAGAAAAAAACATATACATATTATATATATATATATATAATATATATATATATATTGTCACATATATATATAAGCATATTTATATATGCATATAAGAGAGTCGTCCGAATGGTCCTTGCATTGAGATATGAAGGGCAAGACCTTTGTGGGGGGATATGTATATGAGATATTTATATACCTATATGTATATGTTGTGTGTCTGTTTGTGCGGGGTGCCCTTCGAAAGGTCGGTTCAAATCTCAAGGGAAACCGCCATGAGGGACTCCCTTGTGTTGATATGCATATATCTGTATGTAATGTGCACCCCCCATCAACCCCCCATTTTAGACGGATGTTCCCAGAAGTGGGCTCATTTCACAATGTTGGCAGACTTGCGCAGATGGTTCGTTATGACTTTGCCACCTATATAAATAGTAGTTGCTTCTACTGCCTGCAAGAGTTGCTCGTGGCATTCCTCATCTCGATTCGTTTTTTACTGCTTCCAGACGTATTCTTGTCACACAACAAATCTATGGCAACACAAGTTAAATTGAACCTAGAAGGTAGGTAGCGCGTAATGATCTCCAGGGTCTAAACTAAAAAGACATCATACATGCATTTCTGAAGTGCTCAATCACGTCTGTCAACAATAGCACATTTGTTTTCATATAGAAATCGTGATGCTTTCTCATTACTCGAATGTTATGATTCCAATTTGAGTTTGCTTTTTCATAGTCTTCAACAGCAAGGCTACCGGCGCAAGGGTATCAATCATGAAGCAAACAATACCTTTTCTGCTTCGCCTATTCATCTTCGATTTCTCATCTCAACAGAGGGTGCAAATCTTAAACCTGCCCCAATACCAAAGCATCTGCAACACATCTTCCATCTCTCATCTCAACTCAAGTCCCCCTTCGTGTGTCATGTCAGAAACCCTGGCCAATATCAAAGCGTGTGTTCATATCTTATATGCGTTAACCAATGCCACACTGTCTGCTAAAACAGCTGATTTTCCTGAACGAACTCGGTTCTGCGCAGAACCTGCCAACACTCATGTGTTCACTGGTATTCGCACAGTTGTTCCCCTACTCAAGGGTTCGTGTGGATTTCTGCAGTGATTTGTTGAACTATTAGCTCTCTGTCCCTGTGCTGAACTGTCAACTTCATTTAGCGCGGCGCAAGTCCGAAGGAACATGAGGTGCACCCAAACAGGAAAGACACAAGCAGATGCTTCAAAGCGCTTCTGCGCCTAAGATTCAAGATTCCCAGGACTCTAGGGGGCCGCAAAACGATTTAAAGCGCTTAAGCGCTTGAAAGCCCTTGTGGAGCTAAGATTAGAGGTTCAACACTGTAGATCTTGAAATTTGAACCCAGTGTGGGGCCCAACAACGTTTTGAAGCGCTTGAAAGCACTTGTGGATCTAAGGTTAAAGGTTCAAGTGTCCCTGGATTCTAGATCTGGAATTTTGAATCCAGTATGGGGCCCCGAAAATCGCTTTAAAGCGCTTGAACGCACTTTTGGACTCCTGTGGTTGAATCTTGAATCAACGAGCTGCCTGTGAACGCGCTTTAAAGCGGTTTGGGTGCCACACACGCATCCACACACGCATGCGCCCGAAGACGACTTGTGTCCGAAGAGTTGTGGACCTCGGTCCACCTCGTTTAGACCTCGTTATATTGGCGACTAGAACCCCTGTTTTGCAAGGCTTCGTGGCAGGCTCGCAGTACTTTCAGCAGGCCAGGCGCAGATCTTGTTTGTGGGAGACGCAGAACGAGAAGAAGAAAGAGAAATATGAGAAAATAAAAATCCGTCAACAAGAAAGACAAAAAAAAGGAGCAACGGTGAGACAAAAAGCTTGCAGCTTGCGCAGGGCTCCTTGTTGAGCACATTAGATTTCAGTTATTTTCGTGCGTATGTTGTTGTTGTTGTTGTTGTTGTTGTTGTTGTTGTTGTTGTTGTTGTTGTTGTTGTTGTTGTTGTTGTTGTTGTTGTTGCTGTTGCTGTTGCTGTTGCTGTTGCTGTTGCTGTTGCTGTTGCTGTTGCTGTTGCTGTTGCTGTTGCTGTTGCTGTTGCTGTTGCTGTTGCTGTTGCTGTTGCTGTTGCTGTTGCTGTTGCTGTTGCTGTTGCTGTTGCTGTTGCTGTTGTTGTTGTCGTCGTCGTCGTCGTCGTCGTCGTCGTCCTGGTCCTCGTCCTCGTCCTCGTCCTCGTCGTCGTCGTCGTCGTCGTCTTCGTCGTCGTCATGGTTGTGGTTGTGGTTGTGGTTGTGGTTGTGGTTGTGGTTGTGGTTGCGGTTGCGGTTGTGGTTGTGGTTGTGGTTGTGGTTGTGGTTGTTGTTGTTGTTGTTGTTGTTGTTGTTGTTGTTGTTGTTGTTGTTGTTGTTGTTGTTGTTGTTGTTGCTCTTGTCATTGTTGTTCTTGTTCTGGTTGTGGTTGTGGTTGATGTAGTTGCTGTTGTTGTTGTTGTTGTTGTTGTTGTTGTTGTTGTTGTTGTTGCTGTTGCTGTTGCTGTTGCTGTTGCTGTTGCTGTTGCTGTTGCTGTTGTCTCTGTCGTTGTGGTTGTTGTCGTTGTCGTTGTTGTTGTCGTTATTGTTGTTGTTGTTGTTGTTGTTGTTGTTGTTGCTGCTGTTGCTGTTGCTGTTGCTGTTGCTGTTGCTGTTGCTGTTGCTGTTGCTGTTGCTGTTGCTGTTGCTGTTGCTGTTGCTGTTGCTGTTGTTGCTGTTGCTGTTGTTGTGTGTTGTTGTTGTTGTTGTTGTTGTTGTTGTTGTTGTTGTTGTTGTTGTTGTTGTTGTTGTTGTTGTTGTTGTTGTTGTTGCTGTTGCTGTTGCTGTTGCTGTTGCTGTTGCTGGTGCCGCTGCCGCTGCCGCAGCTGCTGCTGCTTCTGCTGCCTGCTGCTGCTGCTGTTGTACTTGTGGGTTGTTGGTTGTTGGCTGTTTCTTGTTGCTTGTTGGTTGTTGTTGTCTCTGTCGTTGTGGTTGTTGTCGTTGTCGTTGTTGTTGTCGTTATTGTTGTTGTTGTTGTTGTTGTTGTTGTTGTTGTTGTTGTTGTTGTTGTTGTTGTTGTTGTTGTTGTTGTTGTTGTTGTTGTTGTTGTTGTTGTTGCTCTTCGGGGGGTGCCGTATCTATTATGCGTATGCATACATAGATTTACTAACATATGGATGCATTTAGTCACACAACCACCCCATGAGCTACCATTTGCCTTCTTACGGGAATGATGCAGATGCGGATGGATGGAAAGGGTAGTTCGCGGGAAGGCGCGAGCATAGACACATATATATATATATGTATTATACACATAGAAGGGCCTCACTAGTCAGAATGGAGTTCTCAAGTTAAGTTTAGAGCATAATGTTGGATCAAGCTATTAGGCATTATTGTGTTCCTTTCTATTTCTTACATGTCGAGTTTCTCATGGGGCGCTTGGCACATCCGAAGGTCGCTGGAGAGTCTGGGCTTCTTCCAGGGCCTGGAGTCCGACGGAGAGGCGATCTTTGGGCACCGGCTCCAGGAGATGAGCCAAGCCTTCGAGCGACTCGGCTATTCGAATCCGAAGCCAGAAAGCGCTTGGCTGCGCTTTGCTATCTGTTTTTGTTTGTTTTTGTTTTGTTTTTCCCGTCTTTTTTGGTTCTGTTGTTTTTTTGGTATGGGGCTGCAAACAACAAAGTTCAATTTACTGTCATACCAAGGGTTTTTGAAGCTATGGCTCTGAGTCATTGTATGATCTGAGTTTGGCTGGTTCCTTCGTTCCTTTCCTTTGGTAAACAGGCTCTGTCGAGGTTCTTATGGCTCTGAGGCAGTACGTACTTGATCTGGTTCTTTGTTTGTTCACTCGTTGGCTCCTTGGTTCGGCTTGGGCCCCAAACTTTGGGGGGACCTCCCGTGACCCCTGGAAGGACTTTTGGATTGGCTTCAAGTCCTGGGATTCGACTTTCCGATCATTTCCCCTTGGCTCTAGGGGTACCTTCCCCATTCTTTCCGGGAGTCCTTCTGTCCAGAAAACCTTCAGAAACGATGGTTGAAAAGAATGAGGAATCAACCCCTAGATTAGCGGATGAGCGCCATCGTTTCGAGGCAATGGCTCAAGCCGCTGATCTTCAATCGGTCCTGCAAGGATGCCGTGGCAAGTGGCAACAGCTTTAGCTACGCTTCAAACGACCTTTAAGTTTTTCTCCCCAAGGTCATGGACTTTAGCCACTTGGGCTGGCACCATTTTAGTGGTGAAGTAGGAAGTTGAGTTTTTGTTTGCCAATCCACTCAGGAAGCAAGTTTCCCTTTTTTTGTTTTGTTTTTTTTATGCAGACCCGGGTTTGTTTAACAATGCTTGTTGTTTCCCTTTGTGGTGGAATTGTTATTCGATGAAGCTTCTGCTTGGTTTCCTTGGCATTGGACCGAGGTCTGGTTGTTTAAGCGAATGTTGCAACTGACCCTGCGAGGAGATCTTCAACGAGGTAGTTCAAGCCGGGCACTTCGATGAGTGGCGCCAGGCGGGAAGTAGCAAGTTCTCTCCCCCAAAAGCAACGGTAGAAAATCGGCTTGGCTCACTTAACTTCCTTTTCTCTGTGCGCTTGTCACGCCAAACTTCTACCCTCAGGCTGAATGGGAGCAAGCCCCAGGCTGGAACATGTTAGGACCAATGAAGGATCAGTCATCTGAAGGCCTTTTCGTTTGTGTCACTCCCCTTTTTGCCGCCACCGTTTTTTTCGTATGGTGTTATTGGCGATGGCCCCAATTCAACCTGCACGGACCATGTCCGAAAGCCTTCCTTGTCTTTGGGCTCCGCTCTTACCCAGCGGCTGATTTCTTTTTTCGCCTTAATTTTAGGAATGCTGCACCTTAGGACACTCCCACAAAAGAACACGGTTGGGGTGTGTGTATAGGGGATACTGGCATGATTGACAGTGTTGGAGAAGCAATGGTTTGGGAAACGCCTCCACTAAGCAATCACCCCTATCGCTGTGTGAGGCATGTTCGCACCAGGACAATTTGTTGTGCTTGAACGATGCTGAATCTATTGCGTGACGTTGCGGGACTCAACACTCCAAAGTGACTAACGGCTTACCGGTTCAAGCACGTTCCTTCGTTGTTTGTTGAAAGTAAGTTACAGCGTCTTCCTTTCAGCGTGCAAGTATGGCAGTTCAAGCCATTTTTGCTCGCCCTGCTCATCTCCCACGAGTTTGGCTTTTCGCATGACTCACTGTGCTTTCTGCAATTGCCACGCAGCGGACGCAGAGTTAGTTTCAAGGCCTTCTGCCCACTCAGCAAATGGTGGCAGATCTTTAGGAGAACGTTCTTCCCAAAGTGAAGGCCCCCTGTGAATCAAGCAGGGGGAGGTACTCCGAACCGCAAGACGGTCACAAAGGGAGACCGTTGTTTTCGCCTGGTTTAGACATGGCTTCTCTTTTTTTTAACATCAACAGAAAAGCGGTTCAAGGGTGTTCAACTCCGAAAGCCACAGTTCCAGCTTTAGTCCTTTCCAAGATTGTCCTTGGGCTACATCCGACAAAACATGCTCCCCGAAGTGCTCTTCTCACTCACAGGAACCGTGTGCCTTGTGAAAAGATAGTATATAAACGGCAAACCAACAACTGTGGACTGGACTTTGGCTTTTTGCAATTCAGTGCAAAGAGTTTAAACTTTTGGCTAGTTGACACACTCCCTGAGTTCCGGAGTTCCGTTTCGGACTTTATCCCTTTTGGGTTTGTCACTCCCATGGGAAGTGAGTCGACTCCAGCGGGCTGATTCACGCGGTACCACCTTCAGGTACCGCTTGCGGCGCTGCAAGACACCCTCGACGCGCACGCGGAAGGCGGCGCAAGCGTGGCTTTGCAGCTTTCGCAGGTTCTGCGACAGGCGGGGGTGCCTGACACCGCCCAACTACAAGTGCTAAAGCGCCTTGCCTCCGGATTCTTCGAGTCTTCGTCGATTTTAGCCGCAAATTTGAATTGTGTGTGTCTTTTGCGGTACGTGTGTAGTTGATTGTTGTTGATTTGTAAAAATGAGCCGAAAGCTTGCCTGCTATGAATTTTGCTCAGTTTGTCGTGTGTTGGAACGACGATGGTGTTGTTTGTTGTTTGGGTTCATGTCTGAACATGGTTGTTGGTTGGTAATTGTTGATCCTGACCACGTTTACTGGGCGAACATTGAAGGGCTTTGTTCACTACTTTGGATGAATCTGATTGTTGTTGGGTTTATGTTAACTGGGCGCTAAAAGAAGCACAGTTGGCCAGCATGCTAGGGGTTGGGAAACTGCCCAAGATCCCCTGCGCGGTGTCCACATCTGTCATTGTGTGAACTCTATTTAGGGGTTAAAGTCAGACTTGTTTCCCTTCAACCTAGGACTTAGATTTGTTTGTCATGGCTGCTGGGGAACCCGAATAACAAAATAACATCTGAAGTGGGTGTGAGGCAGCATCCTCCAACGACTGCTCTTTCGCGTGTCCAGAAGCCCAAGTGCGGCGGTGCTGGAACAGCAGACCACGAGCTTTTTCAAACCTGGACACAAAGCGATCTGTTGAACTGTCATAGTGAGATCACTGTAGTCGCAGTGAATGCTTGGCCACATGCACATGTTCAAGAAGCGCGAGCCGCCAACACACCAATACAAGTCGATCACAATCCTGAACACGCGAACAGCGAAAATCAACTGGAATGCCCAGAAACGTCAGCGAGACTGCGACCAAACTGAAAAGCCTGGAACAGCTCCAAACCACCGGGCTCCAAACCAACTTGGTTTTAACTAGAAAGCATAGGAGTCCTTTTTAGTTGGTTTGGTAGAAAAATAGATGGCCCTGGTTTACCTGGTGGTTTCATTATCCACCAGGGCCATCTATTTCCCCTAAAAGGACACCTATGGATGGAAGCTGATAGTCTTTGCTTTTTCTCAGAGCCTTAGAGTTGACTTTGCGCTGGATACGCTCGGCCAAGTTACGCTGGGAACTTCAGCGTGGCTCGGTGGGCCCAGCAGATGGCGGCATTCTTCGCGCGCGCAGTGGCTTGTCTAAGCTCGAATTGTTCAGCAGTCTATCTCCCATTTGGGAGGGACCAAGCAAAACCGGGGAATCAGCGTGGGTGTGTCTCTTTTTTGGGACCCCCCCAAAAAAAGGAAAACTGGTGGTTTTTCTTTTGGGTTTGCCTCAAAACCAACCAAAAAGGGGCTTCCCAAGAAAAGACACACGCACCGGCTCCTGCTTTCGTTCGGCTTGCCGAGGAGGCGCATGATGCCTTGCGGTTCTCTCGAATGACGACATGGCTACACTTGACAGCTCCAACGAGGACCTGTTTAGAGCAGGTGGTGGCGGATTTCCCGTGGCTACGGGCCCGGAAGTTTGTGGACGCCGTCTTGTCGCCTGAAGCAACTGTGCTGCAGCGAGTCCCTCTTGTACCGGTAGCTGAAGAAGCTCTCTGGAACCTTGCATACGGGGATAGGTGCCAAGATTGTTCGCCCATCATGAAAATATGTGGTTTTAATCGGACCTCACAACGATAGCCCCCCGCAACCCTTGTTGCTGAGGTTGTATTGCTTCCTTCTGTTTGCTTGTGCTGAAAGTCATATATCTATCCAACTTGAGCACGTTGTGACCCGCTGCGCCATTCTTTGGTTGAAGCGACTTGACTGGTTTCTCCCCATGAGTACTAAACCACTGGTCGGTCAGTAGGGATCCTTCACTTTCAGGCAAATCTGCAGAGGGTTTCTTAGTTCTGGATCAACATCATCTCAGGATAATTAGTCCAAGCACTGTTTAGGTACCACACGCTGCATGGGACTGGGTCTGGGACATGGTGAAATCCCTCAGAAATTGACCGATTTGCGTGCGTGCCCTGTCGGACACGAGTACCGTCCCCCTGAACCAAAATTGCTTGTGGGATAACACCAGCATGGATACTAGTTGCCTTTGTTTGAGAGTCACGTGTTACAAGGGGGCAAGCCCCAGGCTTCTTCAGGAGAGTAGTCGAAGGGTGCAACTCAGTTTTTTCATTGCCCAGCGCTCGTCCACTCAGCTCCATTTTTGGTGCAGCCTGGGCTCAGTTGATCCCAGCTACCATTTCCTCTTAGTCTTTAGAGGGTGGTTCCCTTGGTTGTCACTGGGAGCCATAAAACATCCCCAATCTTTAGGCCGTGCGTATTGCAGGGCACTCCAATCTTCAAGGCCTCGAAAACCCATTTCATACAGCAGACAGGACGCGTTTAAGGGGTATTTTTGCATGGATATACATTTGTACAAATATATATATATATATATATTGATTTATGATCTATGCAGTATACACACCTGTATGTATATATATATAGGCACATGTAAATATACATATATAACATATATGTAGTATGTATAGAAATAGATGTACAGTGTTTTCCACTCGATCAGCCCGTCCTTTCGCTCCAAGGCCCGGGACGAGGCGGAGGAAGTTGCCTGGCAGATCGCCGCGACCTTTGCGGAGAGTCTGCGGAGCTCGTGGCTGGACGCGGAGACCTCGAAGGCCGCGCTGCGGAAGCTGCGGCAGATCAGGCGCGCCACCGTCCTTCGGTGGGTCGGTGGCCCTCCCAGGTTTTTTGGGGGGGTTGTTTTTTTTTTGGGGGGTTGGTGTTTTTTTTCTTCCCGATTTGGCCTGTGAAGCCCTGGGTGGGTTTTTGGCGGGTTCATATTTTTGGTGTGAAGCCGCTGATTTGGGGGGCCTAACCCATAAGACACGTGCTGTGGCTGAAGAGTTGTTCCAAGCTGCAATTTCCCGCCAAGAATGGTCGGAAACAGGATGGACATTTGGGCACATTTGAGGGCATTCCTTGGGTATTAGTTTAGTTTACCTCCAAATCAAAAGGGGTCCACCATTTGGGTCTGTTTTCAGTGGACCCCCAAAAACGGTTGGTTTCCTTTTAAACCCCAACACCACGTGTATTTCGAAAAAAGACACACCAATTTTGAGACACGCTCATTTTCCTCAGGGCCTTATAGGTGTTCCTTCAGGCCGGCCAGTGACCCGTGAGGCTTAAGATCGGCTACCCGCAGTGGATCAAGGACGATTCTTTCCTGCTGCAGCGCTATGCCGCTTAGCCCAGTGACGCGCTTGGACTGTTTTCCTTCTCTCAGTTCCTGAGCTCATGGACTTTAGACTTTTTCGGGAAGACAATGTTAGTGGACAGCAACTTGTTCAAGGCCATCCACCCAGGAATCGAGTTTCCTCAGTTGCCCAAAGCCAATCCTTGCGCACGTTTTCAAGTTTTGGTCGAGAGTCAAAGTCCTGAAATTGTTTGCTTCAGAGGGCTGCCACTTTAAGATGATCCAAGACAGCAGATCCGAGTAAGGCATATTCCCTCGGCTTCAAGCGCGAGATGGGATATGCCTGGATCCGGCAACTCACTGCAGCCGGATCGCATCCATAAAGGGAGACCGAAGAATAAACCATCAGGGGGTCGGATATTTTGACACAGCCAAAGAGTCATTTCACATGAGCGACAGTCAATATTTACTGGTAAAGGGAATGACATCAGGGCACAGGTTGCGAAAACGGGAAACCGGTGAAGCGTTTTCGGTGCATTCTACCTGCTCTGACTGTTACGGGTTGCGGGTTCAGCGTTCCGGGTTCCCGAAGGGTTTTGGTGGCTTCTGTTGTGTTCTGCGGTTGGTCCTATTTTAGAAACATCTTTTTGGAGTATTCGTGGGCGAACCACACCATCCGCATCCAGGCCGCTTTTCAGACTTGCTTATGTCAAAGAGGCATTTCACATGTTTCACATATCTTTGGTTGGCCATGTGACTTGAAGAAAAATAAACACATTTTGTCGAAATCACACCCTCAAAGGGCTGTGTCTTTCTAATTCCATGTGCCAAGCTCGTCGGAGCAACCCTGCAAGTTGTGTTTCTTGGCACATGACAATCGGGCCCCACCAACGTTTCCCATTTTTGAGAGACCAAATAAACAGGTTCGATCAACATCCAGGACTGGATCCGCCAACTCACTCCCAGAGTTCCTGCACTTTATGTTTTTTGGGGAAGACCATTTCAGTCGCAAACTAAAATATCAGACTTGTTTTGGCCAATCCACTAAATCGGAAGTGAAGCAAAAGCCGCATTCTCTTTTCCTGTGTGTTTCTCAAAATACTGCCCCCCTAAGCTTGTTGGTTTCTTGCGGTTTCAGAGACTTGACATGCTCGCCAAAAGGGGGCCGAAACCGGCAGAGGCGCTGGGCAAGTTCCGACAGATCGCCGGCAGCATCGGCTCCCCCCGAGATTGGGCCAACTTCTGGCGGACCACTCCGGACAGGAGGGGCTCAGCCGGCAAGGCCTTCCTCGATCATTTGAGCGTGTGCTTTTTGGAGGGGGGTGGTTTTAAATGGGAAACAAAACGACATCATCTTGGAGGGAACCCTAAACAAAAACACATAGGCCTAACCAAGCCCTATGCTTAGTCATGGTCAGAGACAGAGTAGGATCAACGCAGAGTACAACCCTGCGTCCAACGACATGATCTTCATGGCTGGCTACATGCTGCCGCCCTTCTATGATCCCAACGCTCCGATTCTCGGCCATCGACTCGCCGCATTCCACGGACCTTCTTTCGGGGCTATGGGGAGGGGGGTTATCACTTATTTTCCTTTTATCAATCTCAATAAGGCTTATTCATATTCTGGGCTTGTCCTCGGCTTGTCCGGGGTAAGGCAAATAGAAGTGGTTTGGTTTCCCTTGGGTTCCTTTTACCAGGGGACAAACTTATATCATCTTCTATCCTATGCCAGTGTCCATAGACCAACTCTGCCAAACCAAGAGTCCGAAAGTGGGCCACAATTGAAACTCGGCAAGGTGGAGGTGTAGGGGCAGCCCCAAACCATTGAAAGTCTTTGTTCTCCTGAAACTATTTTTCCCCCACAGCTGACGGCTTTGGGGTCTCAGCCCAGATAGGCTCCGGGGTGGTCCGCGGCGCCCTGAGGTAAGGTTCCACGAGGGTTCCACGAGGGTTCCACCACAGTTCCACGAGGTTCTGCGAGAGCTGCGGAGTGGCCCGGGCGGCCCTGAGGTAAGGTTCAACAGGGTTCCACAGGGTTCTACAAGGGTTCCACAAGGGTCGAAGCAAAGTTCCACGAGAGTTCCACAAGGTTCTGCGAGAGCCTTTACACAGGCAAGGCGGCATCCTAAGCAAAACCAGCGGTGCGCTATGATTGGTGGCTTGGATCGGTGGTTTGCTTCCCATACTGCGGTCGGGCCCCGATCGGGGCCTGATTGCGCCGTCGGGCAATCCCAGAGTATTGATTGTAGCTAATTTGACCATCGGACAATGTTACTTTCGAACTGGTCAGCTCGGGTTCCGGCCCCGTCAATCCCAGTTTTGACTTAATCCCACATTTGTGATTCACTCAGTCACTTGCATCGGAACCCAGGTTGTCCTCATATCCAGGTTCCTGTTGACCGGGCAAACATTTAATGACTCAGGAACTCACTCCCTGAGTGCCTATGCTATCACTATGTTGCATCAGTGATGGCCTTCGGAAACACACCACGCTCGACCCTTTGTGCGGCACATTCTGCTCTAGACGGTTAATATGGCTTCTTCCAGAACTCCAGGGTGGATTTGAGGTATACCCATAATACCAATACCTATGCCAACACACACACACACACACCCATACCTATAGGTTGCAGGACGTGCCCAAGATGTGGGTTTGTTTGTAACACAGGGACCCCAACACAATCGGGGTTACCTTTGCTTTATTTTTTTACGCTAGCCCCAAGAACGCGTACCCTTGAGCCAAGACACACGCATGCCTTGCGGATTTGGCAATGGGGATTTGAGTGCAGAACCACCTGAAAAGCTGCTAGCGGACCCCATGTAAATCCCCATGCAGTAAGTCGGATTTCATGTGAGCCACTCTCAAAACGCGGGTAGATGAAGGTTAGTAACGGCTCATCCCAACCACAAATGGCTGCGGGAGGTCGCCTTGTTAGTTCTTGGGGATCGACCATTTTAGTACCGATCGGTTTTGATTATGACTCATGTCAGGATGTCCTTCATTTTTGCCACCTTCGGTGCCATTGTCGCCCACGAGCTCACCCATGCCTTCGACAACCACGGGGCGCTTCGGAACGAGTGGGGCGACCTGGAGACGCTAGCGCAAAACGGCGCGTTGTGTTGGACATCCCTCCTTGAACAGGGCGGCGCTATGGGTCAGAAGGTTTGGAGGGATGGGGTGGACGAAGCCCCATTGGCATAGACCACTTTACCAAGGGCTTGGAGTTTGCCCATCCGCAGCATCACCTCTTAAACCCTTCACATGGCCTGGGGACTCTGGATGGCAAGCTCTCAATTTTTTGGAGGACGGTCGCTTCTTTCTTGTTGGATGTGTCCGTATTTGTTGCTTCATTGTCATTGGAAGTGTTTGTTCTTTGCTTCCTTTGTTTAGATGGTGTTTATGCCATTTATGTTTGGTGGGTTTTCTTTTTGACCCTTGGTTAGTGGGCGTTTGTCGTGTGTTTCGCCTGTTTTTGCTGCACAATGTCTTGGGAATGTGCAATACGGGCCAACGAAAGAAGGGGCAACTGAGTTAAGTTGAGTGAGTAGGGAAGCAAGTTGTAGGTGGTTCTAAAATTTGGTGTCATAGGGTTTATAACAAAACCTGTTTCAACCTGAAGCACAGCAAAAAGTCAATGGTTTTTGGGTTCCCTGCCGAAATAAGCTCCGAACCCTCCTCCCTTCGGTACACCTCGGAGTATCATCCACAGCGAGGACTTTCTGTGAAGGATGGTTCCCCCTTCTGTGGTGCTTTCGCTACAAAAGTTGTGCCATTTTTGGAGATTGGTTTCTAGGACATGGAGGTGTCTTTTTTCGAGTTGGTACCCCTTTGTGGTCCGTTGGGTTTACAGTGAAACCAAAAAACGGAGAGACCCATTGCCGGCCTCCCGGCCTCCCGGACTGGCCTGGACCCCAGGAACTGGTGGAGCAAGTCCTGCGAGGAGAAGTTCCAACAGCAAGAGGCCTGCTTCAAGGAGGAGTTCTCCTCCATCCCAGTGCCACTTGCAACCAATCCTTTTCGCGACTCCTTACGATGGTTTTCAGCATTCTCAGAGTCAGGGAACCCTGTGCCATTTATCCCTTTCTGGGTTGCCTCCAAAAGACGACGATGTTTCCTTATCAGCCACGGTTTCCGAGCTATTTTTTGACTTTTTGGAACTTTTTTTAAAAGTGGATCGATTGTTTCAATGGAAACTACAACATTGATCAACTTTTGATTTGGGGAATCCAGCGACCCCTGTCATTAGCTGACTTGACGTTTCCGTCCGGTTTTGCAACAAGTCAACAGGTTCTCTCATGTTTTTTGAACCTGCCAGAGGTCAACATTTCGCAGGGGAGGTTTGCCCCTGTTGGGATGGCAAAACTAAATGTGGGTCTATGTCGAATATGTTTAGGCATCACCTTGCCCTGCCCTCGGGTGCAGTGAGGTTCCTACTTGTTGTTTTGCGCAAGGGTATGTGTGGCTGTGACTAGCGTTTATTTTTCACTTTTGCGGTTGTTTGCTTCAATAGAACCCACGCAAAACTGGAGCACCTGTGCAGTTTGGCATTGGCATGCCACGATCACACAACGTTCATAGATCCCTTCTAGGCCCCTTCTGGACAAAGATTATCCAGAGAAGGTTACTTGCCCAAGATTGGGAGGTTGAAGTTGATCACGAAAGCTAGCTTTAGCTAGCTGAAGTTTCTCCTTGCGTAAGCAAGGTAAGGGGCTCAAATGCCGAAAGATTGATTTTTTCAATTATTTGAGCCGAAAAGATTGAAAAACATCAATTATTTAGACCCCCCCCCCCCGGGTCTCAGGCTCGATTCCTCCCTGGTCCATCCCCCCCCCCCGGGCAGTGGCTCAGTGTTCAGCAGTCTCGGTTTGCCCGTTTTGGACTTGGTGCTACGAACTTTTACATGTTCCACCGATTCAGCTTGTTCATTTGAGACCTCAGTCTTCTCGGTAAACCACCGCAAGAATCTTTGCACACGCTGCATGCAGAACCCAGATGTGCTTTAAGACAGCTTCTGACGCCTCTCGTTGCTTTCATTTTTAAAGGTTTGCCACGCCACCATGTGCGTTTGCGTGTCGCATCCTACGAATCTTGCCGGGCCTCTCGTTGTACACAAGCTACCTATGAATCCACTCTGTCACCGACCCATCTCATGCAACAACTGCTAGCTTTCGTTCACCCGCTCCTCAAGTGAACCCTAGGGAATTGCGCCAAGAATCAACAATTGTTGCCCCTTCTTGGGCAAACTTGTGTGATGTGTGTTCCTGTGATGTGTTCCTGTGATGTGTTCCTGTGATGTGTTCCTGTGATGTGTTTGTGTTTGTGTTTGTCCAATGGAAACTTGGCAAACGGATGCTGACTTGAAATTTGAGACGAAGCCATGTCCAGGTATGGGGATCTCCCCTCCGGGGAGCGGGATTCTTCTGGCCCAGTCTTCGACGACGGGGGCAAGTGCTTGGGCGAGAACATCGCCGATGCAGGTGGCCTTGTGCGCATTTGTGCGCTCTGGGATTATCTGAAAGGCAGCCAGTTTCATGTCCCGACAGCCAAGGGAACCACCAAGAAAAGCCAAAATGACAATGGCCCGGCAGGGGCTTGCCTGCGAGGGATTCCCAAGGACCTACATCATGGCGAGGTCGTTGTACGACTTTCTTCGGGAAGCTTTGCCTGCCAAGCAACCTCGTGCAACAACCTTCATGCCTCGAAACCAATCACCTGAACATGCCCCTGACCTTGCCTTCTGCGCAAGCAGGGATCTCAGACACACACCCAAACCCCCAAAGCCGCCAAACCCCAAGAGAACCCATGAAAACCCATGAAACCACAAGGGGTGTGTCTTTTTCAATGTTCGAACCCCCTTTTTTTACCTTCCCTTTAATGCCCCACCCCTTTTTTTTGATGGGTTTTCTACTACGCCTCCAGAATCCATCGCGGAGAGGCGGCCTGAACCTGGCCTTCTTGGCCTACCGCCGCTGGTCGCAGCTCCACGGCCCCGAGCCGCAGCTCCATGGCCTCGAGGGCCTCGGCGGGGAGCAGCTCTTCTTCCTGCGCTTCGCGGCGCGGCGCTGCGGCCACCCGGGGAACCGCCGGTTCAGCGGGGCGGTTCTGCGGGGGCTTTCTGGGATAAGGGGTCTATGCCGAAACGGGTGGGTGGCAGATTTGGGGACCCTAAATTAAATAGGAATCGGCGCACTTCAGTCGTCTCACGTGTCTTGCATGTCGCCTGTGGGACCTGATTGGCAAAGGCCTGAGCAAATCAGCCATATGTGGACTTATGCAAGAGCCATCCTTGGCAGGTTATAGCTGCACATGCCAACCAACCAACCGACCTGGTCCACCAATCGAGGTTAACGCCCATCAAGTCGGGAAGCTACGGAGCCCTGATGGTGTGTTGATGGTTTCTTCCTTCCCTGGAACCGAACACCAGTTCCTACGAGACCTTGATGGAAAATGGTCGTTCTCACTGTTTTTGACGAAGGGCCAAACGATGGTGGATCTTTCTTGCCCAAAACAAATCGACCTTTTGAGCTTTTGGTTTTCCCTTGTTTGGTCCATGTCTAGTAAAGGTTCCAAAAACTCTTTCTGGGCCCCTAAGGGGCAACATGGGGCAACTGCCTTCCTTCCCTTCCCTTCCTCTCGCTTCAGGCTATGAGAGAAGGTCTCAGCTGGAGCGGCACATGAAGAGTTGGGAGCCCCACGCCCTGAGTCTCGGCAGCGTCTCGCTCTTTGGGACTTCCTGTTTGGCCCTTTTGGCAAGGAGTCGTTGTTGACTTGTGGGTGTGTCCTTTTTTTGGGGAGCCCCCCCCCCCCCGGCCGAAAATGGTGGTTGTCCTTTTGGCTTCCCTTTAAAACAACCAACAAAGGGTACCCTCAAAGAAGACACCCAGTTGTGTCATTTTTGGTCATTTGCTGTTCACAGAAAGGTAGCGTTTGTCAACCAATAGCTAACACAACGGTCTTGCCGCAGGCTTGGGTCCCATTCGTGGGTTGGTGAGAAAACCAAAGGAAATGTTTCGGCTATGTTGTGCGATTGTTACCAGCCCACATGTTGGTTTTTGATACGCAGCCCCGTTCACGCTCACGCATGCACTTCGCCCACACTGCCAAGCACCTGGACCGCCCTTCAAACTCATGTGGTTCCACCCAGAGCAACTTTGCTGCGATTGAGCTCCAAAATGCTGGCAGGCGCGTGGCCTTCAGTTTTGTTTTTGGCCCACCGACATGTCATGGAAGTTCTGCGGCCTTGGCAAAGCGAATCACAGGTTTGACCGCCAATCCTTGGCCGGTACAAAATCCGGCGGGAGGGTTATTGCACTCTCCCTGTTTGCAAGTTTTGCAAACATGAGATGGTCTCCTGTTTTCTCGCTTGCAGGGACTTGCCTGTTTTAGTTTGTAGGAAGGAGTCATTGTGAGTCATTGTTGGTTATTTGTTTGGCCATTTGCTGCTGGGCAAAGAGGAGCTCTGTTCTACAACCAAACCACCCGTGATCCAAACCCATGGCCCCCCAGCGAAAATTGCCGCACGTGGGACACCAAAAGGTTTTGCCCTTTGGCTTCACTTCCCTGGATCTTCCAACTGCACGTTTTTTTCTGCTCGGAAATAAATCCGGGCGTTTTCGTGAAAACCATGCCGATTGCTACAAAATGGTCGCTTTCATCAATACGGAAAGCAATAGGGGCAGCTAAAAAGTACGCTTCTTGAAATTGCGCCCGTTTGCGCGAAATTACGCCCTTGTGAGGGGACTTGTGCCTGTTGTGCGGCCGAATTGGTGGGCCGGAATCTCGCTGTTTCATACCTTGGTGCAGAAGGTCCCAAAAGACGCTCGTTTCCCAAAAAAATAGGTGCGTACCCGTTCTTTGAAGTTGTTTTGACCTGGATCTTTATTTGGCATGTTTTTTTCTGTTCCCACCCCCACACGGATGCTTTTCACAAATTGGATGGTTGTTGAAAGCCCCCACTTGCTAATTGCATGAACCCTTAAATGTACATGAGCCCAGGTGCCTGTGCGCTGGGCCCCTTTTTTTTCAAGGGCATTGTTCGTGCAGGTTGTTTGGAGATGTGGAGGTTGTGCGCCACAAAGGGGATGTACTGCCTCCAAGAAACCCTGAAAACCTTGCAGTTTAGGGTCTCCTTCATCATCCTCAACAAAAGGCCTGCAAACCCGCCTCGACTAGGAAAATAAATGGGCCAGTTGGGTCTCAGCAAGACAGCAAAAGGGCTTCCCTGGACGACAACTCAATCCTTGTTAGTGGCAAGCAACCTTCACCAAAAGGGTGGCAGCTTCATCGCTAGCGGCCGCACCTCAACGGGCTGCACCACCAACAGTGGGTATGGTTCGCAATTAAGCCACCAGCAAACCACAGGTAGTCATTGCTTCCATTTGCCAGGGTTCCGTTTCGGATGAGGCTATTTTTGACCCACGCCGTGGCAAGTGTCCTTCACCAGCTCTTGACTCGAGGAGCGAGGTCCGCGCCCTGGGCCCGCTGCGGAACTCCAGGCTCTTCTCGGAGGTGTTCCAGTGCCGCGCAGGCGGACGAAGGGACCGACCACGGACGAAGGGACCGACCGGGCAAGCGGTATGAGTGCCCACTCAAAGTGAGAACTAGTGTTTTTCTCCAAAAAAACAGAGGGGACTTACAAAACGAGGGGACTTGTTTGTGCATTCAAGAAAAACTTGCCACATCTTTTTTGGTGACTTTTGTGCTAGTTTTATTCGGAGATCAGAGACCGGGGCCAGATTTGGTGGAGTTTCGACCTGGTTGGCAACTTGTGTCAATGGTGCAAGCTTCTTGGGTTCTGGGTGAGGTTTACCTTGACCTGCATATAATTCAGAACCGAAGGTCAGCTTCTTTCGAGCGCCGTTTGGTGCTTGGTGGTTTTTCTCTACAAAGGCTGGACATCCTTAGCAAGCTCGTGCCGACCTTGCAGGCCCTAGACTCCACCTGCAAAGCTTTGCACTCCTTCGTAAGCCTTTGCAAGTCCCAGCTACTCCTAGCAATCATTCGTCTCCCCGTGTAAGCCCTTGCTTCACCATGGTCAACCACGTAGCACTCGAACCGCCCAGGTGAGGTTTGGTTAAAGTATCGCACAAAAATCAGGGGACTCATTCAATTTCGCAGATGGACAACTAAGTTGCAGTTTTCCATAACCCCCAAACCACTGCCCCTCACATACTGGTAGTAAAGCATACCTGCACCGGTTTTCCCTTGGGCGGTTGGGTGGGCACTCCAGGCATGTTCTGCGGTGGGTAGGCACCTGGATGAACCCCAAGCAGAAGTGCGAGCTCTGGGGCGTGGCCAAGGCCCAACGCCAAGGCCCGCAAAGCGGAAGACGAGGCGTTACGTCTTTGGTTTAGAACAACTGGAGGTTTGTTTAGTGATCCACTCCTAGCTGCAAACAGCACCAAGCATTTTTTTTTTTGGAGGGTGACATATGGATCAGATGTCTTGTTCTTGCGTGCCCCAGATTTGGGCCAAGATGCTTCTAGACTTCAAACGGTGTTGCTTGGTTTTTGATGGTTTTTGTTTCTGGGGCGGCCAAGGCCACTGGAGTTCTGGGATGGGCCCGCCGAAACACCCCCCACGTGAGACTTGTTTCTAGTCTTCCACAAGGGCGTGTGCTTGCAGGGTGGTGTGATTGGACGCCCCGCAAAAAGCTTTGAGAACCTGGAATCTCAAGCAGAAAGGGTGGTCTGAAAGGGAGCGCTTAAAGCATGTTGGTTGAACGATCAGGAACAAGGGGAACAAAACAAGGAACGTTTGGGAACGCCCCATTCTGTGTTTTTTGTTCCATTTCCTCTTGGGGAACCCCCCATGGAAGGGAGGGCGTAGCGGACCCCCCAACAACGGGAGGCTTCCGATTCGACTTTTACAAGGGAACATGATGGGTTGTTCGCTTGAGACTTGCAAGCAACAAGGTTGGATGGAGAAAACCATCCGCTTCAGTTGGTGGATGGTTTATCCCAGTCATAGGTATGCATCCATGCCAACTGGTGCGAAGAGAGTGTTTGGCCATTTGCAATATGGTTGCCCAGACTGTTTCCGGTCCCCACCGCCCCTGCTATTACCCCAAGAGACCCCTTGACGGGAACGAGACCAAGGGGTTCAGCCAGCCAATGCCGTTTGCTTCAACCAATATGTGTCCAGTTGTGTAGTGGCACCCTTGTTGCCTTTCTTGTTTGGTGGATTCTCACTAGCAGCATTGAATCTTGAAAAGGATCGTATAGACAACTGGGTCTTAGCGAGTTTGTGTTTTGAAATTGAAGTTCTCCTTTGAAGGGTCTTGTTAAACAACAACATAAAAGCCAATGACAGTTGGATGATTGACCCTTTCCAGGTCCACCCCTCTGGATGTTGGGCATCCTCCTCTTTGGCCTTGTGACCTGGCTGCCAAGTCGCTGCCAAGTCGCTGCCCGATGTGTCCTTGTTGTTTTTCGGACGCCGTTCGCCTCGCCCCATTTTTGGGATGCTTCCCTTTTGAGCTGCCCCAACAATGGGTGTCCTGTTTTTGTTGGGATCAACCCAGATTAAAAAGCAGCGCATGTCTTGGCAGCTTGTCAGGTGCTGGCCCTGGCATGCGTTCTTCGGTGGCGGAAAGCAAAGCCCACGGAGACGGCAAGGGACATGACTCTGGAACTGGCTGCGATGTGACTCACTCAGACCGCGTCGGCCGGAACCGGCCGCAGCTCGAGCCGATGTACCTGTGATTCGCGGAAGACAAAGGCGGGAGTGGCAATGTGGAGGAGGGTAAAAACAATGTGACACAGAGTCTAAACATATTTTGCTTGATGTGTTCCAGAGCTGGGCCAAGTTTCAGGGATGAGGAAATGAGCAATTCAGCCACGTGGTTGGCCAACTCGTAGACTAAGGTGACGAGATCCGGGGAACCGTTTGAGGGGATTGGTAGCCGGTTTCAGGTCCTATGGAAGCTTCACGGATGAAGCCGGCCGCAAACTCAATCTCTTGGCGAGATTCGATTTTGTCCGCCCAGATTTTGGGCAGTCTCCTCTCCTTCATGGAAGTGCGGCGGGGCAGTTGCTGACATTCGGACTGGATCCCCAGGTGCAAGACATCATGGTGAGCTCGTTTTACCCCCGGATTGATGAGCTCCCCCAAAACGGTCCTGAATGCAGACACCTGTTTTTCTTGATCAACTTTCTTAATCAACCGGGGGCATATGACCCTGGATTCTCATTCACTTAGCATATGACCCTGGATTCCCATTCACTTGACATTCCCTCGAAGGCTGCCAGTGCTCCCTTATGGGGCTCCTACTATTGTAGCATTCGAGGTTCGGTCCATTGCTGTCGATGGTCGAGGGTCTAAAACGAGAGTTCAAGCCCTTCCAATGGTCGGCTTGATTTTAATCTCGGAGCATGCCTTGCTTGTTTTGCCCAAGCATTCTCAGCCATGCGGGCAGGGCGGGGCAAGGTTCAACCCCTCTTCAACAATCTTGTTGTGAACGTCAAGGTTGAAGCATCTTTCAAGTTTCAGCGGTGAGACAGCATGTTCTCCGTGAGGAGGTCAAATCGAAAGACGCACTGCCCGACCTCCGAAGATGATGTAACCATCCGTTTGAACCATCCATTGGTTGGTTTCCCTTGAGGCATCCTTTTTCGGCAATTCTGTGAAGCAACAATTTCCTCTTAACCCAACAGTTTAGAAAGGCTGAACGTGGAAGTGGTTTCCGAGGATCATGATCCCCTTCTGTTTTTAGCTTTTTATGGTTTAGTAGTAGTTTCCACTAAACCACGAAAAGTTAGTCACTTTTGGCAATGGAACAGAAAACGGACGGCCCTGGAATACAACTCATTTTTTCGGGGACACCAAAAGCTGCGCCTTTTGTCTCTTCCGGCTTGGGGCACCTCGAAAGCCGCGCCAGGCGGGCAAGCGGCGAGCGCAAGGATTGGCGCCCGCGAGCGCGACGATTGGCCGGGAGAACCACAACCGTAGGTCTGGAGTCTCGCTAGGTCTGCACGAGCTCGTGATTCCTCAATTTAGATTGGTGAAGTATATCAGATGACGGATGTTGTCTGGAATTCCCCTTCAGCAATCATATTATGGCTTAAGTTTGTCAGAACCCTAGACCCCGCCCCGCCCTGCACGCGACACGTGACTTCCATGAGCTGCACGAGGCGCTCAAGGTCTCAAACGTGCTAGATTCCGCTTCCACTGATATTCCTCTGGAAAGGGGGAGGGGTACGGGGGGGGATCGGTGTTTTTTACCAACAAGACATGTAGCAACTTCAAGATATTTGCAGTCGTCCGTTTTTTTCCGACCTCCCCCCCCTCCTTCCCCCCATTATATTGACGCGCTCTGTGACACGCGGTTCAAACGGCGGGAGGACATCGATTCAGAGGTGAGAAGACCAAAAGGGCCGCGTGCGCACCGGAAATTCCCGATCGGGTTTTCTCGGACGTGGCCTGCAAGAGCTGGCGAGTAAGCCAACTAGCCGCCGAGCCGTCAAACCGCAAATCATCGCGCTGTTTGCTTCCCGGGCAAAACAAAGTTCCGCACCAAGAGGGTTCCAAATGAGTATGCTCATTACATTTTGCCTCACAGAGTTTCTACCTTCCAAGTCTTGTGTGAGAAAGTTTGCAAAAGACAAGGCGTTTGAACTTGACAGCCAAAAGGGAACGCTTGAAACCAGCAAAGGAAAATCTGAGGTTTCATATGATAGTTGTATGTGTGTGTTCACTGTATGAGCGAGTCTGGATTTGAGAACGCGAGACCGCCCTTTTAAAATCCGTGGTTGGTGGCTGGGACTTTTTGACTCCGCGGCCTTTCCAGAATCATTCAGAGCACTTTCGAAGGGCTACCACCATTTTTGTTGCTTCGTGCGCAGCACAACCCACCTGAACCCTGGTTCAACAGGTGGCGAGGCTCTTTTTTGTGTTGGCCTTTAAGGCTCTTATGAACCTCTGGAGTGTGCTGGCTTTGGTTTGGGGCCCGCACTTCCAACCGTCAGATGTCATTTGGAAGCCCTTGGGTTCCAAGGTTCGTTGGGCTTGGAACAGTCACGTCGATGTTCAACCTTGCTGCCACCGAATCTGCATTCTCTTCCGCGCTCGCCCCTGACGCATCTGGTCAAAACCTTCTAAGAAGCCCTAGGTGCTACAACCATTGACACATTGACCCAGTTTGAGCCACATGTGACCTTTTAGTCACCAGACTTCCTTCCATGTCTTCCCTGTCCTCTGAACACCTAACGGATACCCTCAAAAGACGCGGCCGGCTTAGCCATCTTCGGTTCCTTCGAGGCTGCAGTTCCCCATCAAGTCCTTTACCTCGCTCACCATCCCGGACGTGAGTTTGGAGGACTCCGAGCACCTCTACCCCCTCGCCTTCGTCGCCCGGGCTCAATCAACGCATGTCTTTCCTTTTCAGGGGGCTTAAGCTACCACAGTGCTTCCAGTTGCCGCTAAAGCGGGGTTTCTCACATCTAGGCGTTGCATGATGGTTTCCTGTGGAAACCCCACTATAGCGGAACTGGAGGCGGTTTTAAGGAGGAAACGATTACACTGCTGGATGTTTGTTTTTTTTTTCAGGGGACTCCAGCACATAGATGGGTTTACGGTGGAGGGGCAAGGGGGAATTCTGGCGGCTCCTCGAAATTACTGTGATTTTTCAGGGATGGATCGTTTTGTTTCTTTGGTGTCCTGTGGGAAATCACTCCTGGCCTTCAAACCACCAATCCCAACCACCAAGCAAGGGAAGCTGACAAGGAGTATTTAAAGACCTGGTGTGGCTTTTGTGCCACGGTATGTTGAAGACAGATGTCGGCGGCTTTACCAAACGACTTATAGTATTGTTCGTGTTACACAATAATTCAGCTGTTGATCGAAAAGGGACATTGAATGAGAACTACTCAAAGGGAGCTTGAAATCAGCGAATCACCTAATGTGGTGTGCGAATGGAATCATGTCTCCAACACGAATGGGCCTTTCAGGCTGATCGTGCCAGGTGTTTGGCAAGGCGGGTGGGCCTCAAAATGGGGAGCTCCAAAATGAGCGTGGTCGTTTCTTGTTTCCCTTTAAAACGTGCCGTCCTGCCAGCACCAGGGCCATCATTGAAAGAGACAGTTTTGGAGCATCACCTCATTGTGTTGGGTGTTAAGTAGTTGTTTGGTGTTTGTTGATTTCATTCTGAGTGGAAATACGGAACATGTGTTTGTTGTAGTTTGTGTTGATTCTCAATTCGAGTGGGTGGCTGTTGAAGAGGAACGTTCGACATTTCTCACTTATACGTCCGGGCTAACCTCTACTGGCACTCGCTATGGGGTATTCTTGTGGTCCGTGATTGGAGACTTGAGACTTGCAATGGTGGCAACCCACTCCACCTCCAAATGACTTCCTTGCCACTATCAAAAAGACCCTGAGGCCTCAGAGTCTTATGTTTTAAAAGCTGGGGGAAGGGTGGTTCGGGGATATTGGGATTTCATATTATATGTCTTTCTGCGCGACGCTGCCTTAATGACTACTAGTCGAACTAGGGGATTGCACATCTCTTTCAGAGATCTGACTGGCGTTCTGCAGCTTATTCTATTGCACCTTCACATTGCACCCGCTGGTGCGATAGGCAGGAACTGTGGGAATGAACCTAGGGATTCCCTTAAAGGATTTCATAGAGGATGGTTTAGAGGGGCCATTCCCTCATTCCCTGCTGATCACCAGCGAGATTGAGATTGGAGTTGTTCAACAATTCGATATGTTGGGTTAAATGACAACTTGTCCAATTTAGTGGGCGAGCGACAGATGGATGTCGTCTTTTTCGGTTCTGCTCAATGGTCATCCCATAGCACCTTCTGATCAACCCGCAAATCGCGGCCCTGACCTAGAAACAGGACTGCTGGCCATGGCCCAGTGCAACCTCGAGGTGCCGTAAAACCCTTCTATAGTTTGTCCAGTGGGCAACTTGGACGTCCAACCGGCTTAGTAGGTAATGCCCATGGATGTAAGGGAACCACCCCCAGCTGCCCCAGGTACAACCATGAGTATAACGTGCTTCACCACGGCTGACTGGGGTTGCTTCCCGCACCAGTGAACGTTCCAACCCCCACTAAAATAGGTTCTAAAATGGGTGGTGCAACTACCTCAAAATGGGATCCCATTGGTGTTGACCCACAGCCAGGTAACTTGTCTGACTTGTCAATGGACAGTTCTTTCTTGTCTGTAGTTTTAAGGGAACCATATGGCTGCTAGGTTGACTGGGGTGGGTTTCCTGGTCTTTGGTGCGACATACCCCCCTTAGACGTGTGCAAGACGAGGTCATGAGCATGGCCTGGCTGGCTGTCTTCGCATACCTCGTGGTGGCAGCCTGCGACGGGATCCACGAGGCGGAGTCCGACTCCGTTTCGGCCCGGATGGCACGAAAGCGAATTCGATAGTTGGTTTCCCGGAGGAAACCAACCAGATGGTTGTCTCAACATATTTGGCAACCCCTTGGGTTGGCTTTGGATAGAGCCATGGTTATTTAAACGTACGCTGCTTTTGAGGGCCATGGAACAGCGTTTTTGAACATGGTTAAACCACTGTAAGCAAACTGCTCGTCTTGCAGAGGGAACACCAGGTTATGGGAAAACCTTGTGAGCCTTGATTTTTTTGCGCGAGTATTTCGCCATACGGAAATGGGATTTGCAGTGACCAAGTGATGGTATCACGAAAAGGGTTACTTCCCACAACCGTGGATAGGGCTAGTCATTTGCCCGCCTCCCTGCTACCTGGGATCTCCCCATGAGCTTTGAAGGGTCACACACCCACAAAGGACTAGGGAGAAACCCTCGGGGGGGATGGTAGCTTCTAAGCATTTTCTACACGGATCCTGCTTTCCAGAAAACCTCCAACAGGGAAACGTTGCTGGTTTTCGAAGCGTGCTTTGGTTGCAAAAAACTAGGGACCAACCCTTGTAGAGATGTTTTTCCGGGCTGTGAAAAGCCATGGGCTGTTTATAAGAGGTTGGAATGGGTTTGTTTGTTGGCGGCATCACATGTGGTAAAGAAACTAAGCAGGGCTGCAGTAAAGTCCAAATTGACAGGGTCCACATTTGACCAAGGTTTTATTCGATGTTCGCACGAGCAAACTGGGGGTCGATTGCAACCGAATGAACAAACAGCGACTGAGTAGATGTGCGTGTGTGTTTTAGAGGGCCCGGCAAAATGGCTTTGGTATCCCTTTCGGTTTTCCTTTGCAAGCAACACAACAGGGTCCCGCGCCATTAAATTAAGGACCATGGTGTTCTCATGATGGCTGCCTGTGTGGCTGTGGGAAAAAGCAGGTCTTTGCCCTGCAGGGACCCCCAAAACCCGCAACGCGGAGCCCCCAAAGACCTCCCAAAAGTGTTTCTCAAAATCGGGGTACCACTCCAAATGGGTATGAGTCAAAATTAAACCACCAGGGGACCGCAGGTTTTGGTCTATGTGTCCATTTACCAGGGTTCTATTATGGGTACCTATTTTTGACCCATACCCAAGCAGCTTGGCTGACCAGGACTTTGGCATTAGCACCAGCGTGTTGGGCTACACGGTGGCGGCGGCGGGCACTTCCTTCCCCAACGTCTTCAGCGGCATGTGCGTGGCCAGGACTGCGCCGTGGGCGGAGGGGGTGTCCTCACCCTGCCCTTGTTTATCTTTTTTTGTTTTTAAGTCTAAGTTAGAAGAACCTACTTATAAGTCCCACAAGTTATTTCCAAAGCGAATCGGCCTGAAATGAAATTGTAGTTTTCCCTTGTTGTCTTTCTTAGTCACGGCCACCCGAGGCTAACCTTTTATTTGTGGGTCCTTTGGGGCAGATGTGCTGCAAGGCTCCTGAGTTCCTGGACTTCAGTCTTTTTAGAAGACCATACAGTTTGAGCTTCTTTGGGCAAATCAAGTCAGGAAGTGAGAAGATCGCTTTTTTAAACCAAAATCCCAACCGAAAATGGACAAACGAGTTGGGGGAAGATTCGCCGAAGAACTACTTTAGCCCATTGTCCCTCCCAGGATTCTTCATCCCAAGTCTTAGGTGAACCCTGCTTTAAGCTGACGGCTGGTGCTTTCCGTAGCCTCAGGGTTGCTCACCGAAAGGAAACCGATATTTAACTCTGGTTTAGCCGTGGTTTTGGCGACCACCCCTTCGGCCAGTTTCAACCATTTGGGTTTGTCTGAACGGGGCCTCCAACATGTGGTTTGCCTTTGGTTTCCATCAAATAAAGACATATTTCCACAAACCTAGAAGGTCCCACATAAGGCCCGGTTTGAACAGAATTTCAGGCTCGTGCAATTGTCTAAGGTCTTTGGGGTTCCGGAATCCCACTATTTGCAAGTAGATTGAGGTGAGCACTTCACTTCACTCTTCAAATGCCTCGGGCGTTTCTTTTTGGCGGTCAAGCATGTCGACTAGGCAAGTCGCCGTCGGTTTACTTTCACCCTCCCTTCAAAACAGGACCGTTTTCACCTGACTAGAACGAAACCATCGGTGGAGTAATGTTCACCACCGGAAATGGAAGAAAAAGGCGCCAGTGGGCAACTGGTGTTTGCAACCGTCTATTTGTTGACCTCCATTGAAATTTACATCTTAGTTTTTGGGCCCAAAACCATGTGGGGGTAAAACGAAGACACGCCCCCATGGGTTCCCTTCCAGCCCATCCAGAATGGGCCAATCAAACTCAACAAAAAGCACTTCCAGGTGGATGAGCCTTTGCTTCGCTGGTAGCCTCGGGTCAATTCCCCCAAAGAGGTCACAACAGATGAGCCACGCACGAAATGTCACACAGGTAATTTTATTCTGCTACCTTTTTTTGCTAGGGATTGTGGTAGCCCCTATATAGACCCTACCATCCATGTTTTTTTGGAGATTAAAACAAAGAGGGTTCATATAACCACCATTGTTTACCTCAAGGAGTTTCATCATCCGAATTGTGTCATTGCCATTCTTTTGGGGGTCGAAGCCTGAGACTTGGTAGAACCCCTTCCTCTTTCCTTCCGGATCCGTCCATCCGAACGGCCGCACGCCGGAAACGCTGCAGGCAGGGAAAGACCACCATGGCAGTGGCCAATGCACTGGGCGCCAACGTGCCTCGATGGCTTTGGGTGATATGATTTTGGATGGACCAATTCCGTTTGACACCGAAGAGACCCTGGAATGACTCGATTCCCTGGAAAAATGCCAGCAAACACTGGTGTTCAACGTGGTGCAGGATTTCGGCCGTCCACAGTAGCTCGATGAAAACCCTGGTCGGCGGGTGATGTCTTGATATCGAGGGACGTATTGATCGACTGGGTTCCCACTCATGGGAGTGGCTTCCTCCACCCAGGTGATGTTTATGTATCTTGAGTGCTATCGGGTAACGGATTTTGAGACTCCAACCTTTTTGTTGAAATGTTTCCGAGTTTCCATCGAACCTACAAAGAGTTAATTAAGATTTTTGAAGAGGGGTCAACAGCAACCAATATTGATGTAACCAGGTGATGTACTCTAAGATTGCCCTCTTCTTGCTGGTTGAATAGGCAGAGAATGAGTTGGAATGACTCCAAGAAAAACAAACACAAAGAACCATTCCCTGTGGTTTTGTAGACAATCCTCCAAGCCGGTTCGTGTCCAACCCTGAGCACCAGCAAGTCTTTCCAATGGAAGTGGGAGGGGTTTCCCAACAGGAAACAGAACTTTCCAGAGCCCGATGGTCAGCTTCTATGATTTTAGGCAGGCTACTCGTGGAGTCCAAAAAGGGGTCTCCAATTCGCAACAAAGAGCGATCCCGAAAATTGGCGGAGTCTTCGGTATGTGAACGTGTTTTTCTTTGCATGGTTTCGGTCTTTGGTGTGACCAAGGCCTCAGAAAAGTTGTTTGAAGCGGGGACGTTCTTTTCGTTGGCCCCGGAAAATTGCATTCAAAGAGGGTCCCTCAATTTCCCTAGTTTGGACCTCCAAACGTGGCAGTTTCAATGGAAACAACCAGTACAGTTGGAGCTTGTGAAGGGGAAATCCAGTGAGCCCTGACAAACAATTCCGACCTCCGGTGCATCGAGTTTCCACCTTTTCACCCGTCAGAAAGGTTCTCTAAGGTTCTATTGCCGTAGGAGACTCTGTGGGTCACTTCTCTATGGATTTTCCTTCGCGTGATCGCGTGCAGTTACGCTGTGCGAAATTCCAGCACCTCCTCCAACTTTTGAGTTTCAGTCTTGCTGCGTTGCTTAAGGAAAACCATCATTTGTTGGGTCCCCTAAAAAAGACACCTGTGTTGGGCTAGGGTGTAGTTGTTTAATTATTGCCCAAGGCTGCGACTGAGAACACGCATTTGGCATCCAGCCAAAAGGAAGGTGTTTGCCACTTTCAACACATGAGCAACTGCCGAAGTTACTGGCAGTCCATTGTTGCCGCGGAATTCCGTGCAAGTGGAACCCACAGCGGGCTGTGCAATGGGCTTGCTTGTGGGGAACACACAGAAGCAGCAGGAACCGCACATTGTTTCGAATGAGTTAAAAGGGTGTCTGGGTGATTGTCTATATACATGCATGTGTGTATATATATATATATATATGTATATTAATTCATGCGGGGAGTTCGGTGGGAGTTTGAGTGGGCTGGAAACAAACTTTCTAGCATCGACTGGCTGGCAGCTTCAAACTACAATTGTCTCGTTAAAACAACTCCTAGCTCTCAGTTCGAGAAGCACGATCCGGCTGCCGCGCAGCCTGCCTTTTCACTATCCTGCGACAAGGGGTATCGAAGAAGAACGGCCAACATATTTGGATAGCAAGAAGCGGCCAGGGACTTGACAGATCTTTGTCTGTCAAGCCTGCATCGGCAGTTCGCGCAGCATATGCGCCGCGGGTTTTTGCGCGCTTTAGGTGCGATCCAAAAAGGGGCCCTACAACGGCTATGAAAACACGCTGGGCGAGCCACGTTCCCGAAGGAAGATACTTTTGGCGGCCTGAAGCGCCGCGGCACAGAGTCCAGCGACAAGCCCACGGAGGCCAAGCTCAGGGAGGCGGCAGAGGCTTCGCACGGTTTCCTGAGCGTGCGGGCCTTCGTTGCGACGATGTCGGCGGGCGGAGTGTTCTATGCCGCCTACACAGCCGACAAAATGGCAAGGGCGTGGCTCGGGCGCGCCGCCCCCGCGGTGACGAAACAGAAGTTGACGCTGGCAGTCCTGGCACGCGCAGCTGGCGTGCATGCCGCCAAGGCGGCGAGGATGTGAGCGGCGACGGGCCAGGCGGCGCTCAGCAGAGCTTCAATTCGGCTTGCGTTTTTGTTTGTTGACTGTGCTTGACCGGCCAGCGGCTCCAGCTCCAAACTCAATGTGAAACAGGTCGAGAAACGTGCAAAGCGGGCCACGACCCAACGCGCGCGGGCTCTCTTGGCACGTGTTCAATCCTTCAACAATACCAAGGGCCTAGGGATTCGTTGCGGCAGAGATTTTCTGCCGCAATCCACAAAAAAAAGACGCTTTAGGGACTTGCGGCATTTCTTTCTAATTTGCGGCGCTTTTCTTTGCGGCGGGAATGAGGCGGAAATCGGCGGGAACGCGGCGGAAATCGGCGGGTCGTTGTTTTGCCAGGTTTTGTGGGGCAATGAGAGAAACTGAATCACTGAATCGCGCAAGCTTGTGAAAAGGTGGGCTGCGCGGCAGGCCGGATCGAAATCAAATCTTCAAATTCAAGACGGGTTTAAGACAAGTTTAGGATGAAATTCAGAGGAAGTTTAAGATGAAGTTACAGGCTACATTTGGACTAAAATAGAGAAGTTTAAGATGAACTTAAGATGAATTTAAGATAGTTTTAATATGAATTTAAGATAGGTTTAAGATGTGTCCAAGATGTGTCCTAGCTAAATTGGTATGATTGTAGATTGTATTTGTTTGCAAGGTTTGGACTATAATCTGCCATGTCGATAACCAACAGGAATTTCAACACCATGTGTCTGCTGGCAGGATGTTATCTGCGAAACTCATGCCTGCCAGGATGATACCACATACTACTTTGAAAGTAAGTGTTTGGATGATGACACCAATGCGAAAAGTTTGCTGGATACTTTGCAGTCTTATAAATCATATATTCCATAGAGGCCCAATATGAGTCTGTTTACCGTTTTCCTCGTTTTTTCACCAATTGTACTTGCAGTCAAATCGTTACAAGCAATGCTTTCATGGTCGTTTTGCTAGTTAGCCAATATGCCCATAAGTGGAGAACGTGAAGTTGGCACGCACCCACCTGACGTTTGTAGAGGCAATTGGGTCCGCGGTGTAGTCATGCAGAACATCCTGCCAGTGTCGCGCGATTCTGGGCACCACGCCGTGCAGATGGCAAGGCAAAGTCTTTTGTTGTTGTTGGTCACCCCCGCAAAGCAAGTGACCCTTTGCACGGTAATGTTCAGGTGTGTTCAGATGGATACTTCCCCGTAGCCTGAAACAAGCCACCTGCAGAGGAGTCTCGGGCGTTCCTTCCGTCCATGTGCGCAGTTGTTTTTGTTTGGGGCCGGGGGGGTGTTTGGGCGCAGCGATGTATAGGCCCTGTCGAGACTTGCCCAGCTGAGGTTCAGAATGTGTTCCTAGCGCTCGCGATTCCGTGGACCATCCAGTGTGCAATCAACAGGCGCGTGCGTTTTCGTCGGTCTGGCCACGGATTTCACTGGTTCGCCGTCTATTTCCAGTGGCGCCATGTTTTGCTCAAAGGGCAGTTCCATTTTCGGAGGCTTGCCATTCGCCTGAATTCAACTAACAAGATTTTTCGCGCGAAAATTCCCTAGAGGCCCATCAAGCCCAAAAAAATATTTTCGTCCGAACAGGCTTCCAAGAAACATGTCGGGCTCAAGTCTCGCTCGCTCGCAGGGGCAGCTTCGAGATGCCCTTTGTTGGCCTGGGGAGTGCGGTGGTGGAGATCTATGCCGCTGGTCCAGCGATTTTGGCTTCACATGAGCGTTGGTGCTGTTCTTGTTGTTGGCTTATGTCTAGAAAGGGCTGTTGGGGCGGGGGTGGGTTTTCGTTGGAGCGCCGGGGTTCGCGTGTTGTGCTTTGTGTTTTTCTCTGGGGCGGGCAAGGGGTGTTTGAGGCTTTGCTTGTTGACTGTCCGTTGTTGGTTAGTCATGGATGCCTGGTTGCGTCCTTCGTTTGCGATTGTAATGTTGACCCCGTATTAGTCTGTAACCCCCCCCCCCCCCTTGAAGGTTGGAAGGTTTTGGGGGGGCAAGATTTTGGAAGGTTTTTTGCCATGACCCCTAAATAATCTGGAATTGAGTTTCAATTGATTTAGTATTGCTGGGGCTTCCTTTCGAGATCTGGAATTGAGTTTCCATTTGATTTAGTATTGCTGGGGCTTCCTTTTGAGATCTGGAATTGAGTTTCCATTTGATTTAGTATTGCTGGGGCTTCCTTTTGAGATCTGGAATTGAGTTTCCATTTGATTTAGTATTGCTGGGGCTTCCTTTTGAGATCTGGAATTGAGTTTCCATTTGATTTAGTATTGCTGGGGCTTCCTTTTGAGATCTGGAATTGAGTTTGCATGGCCCCCCCAATGGGATTCCATGAAATTTGATGAGGTTTCCATTGAGATTGAGTCACTTTTCCATCAGGTTTGCATGGCCACCCCAATGGGATTCCATGAAATTTGATGAGGTTCCCATTGAGATTGAGTCACTTTTCCATCAGGTTTGCATGGCCACCCCAATGGGATTCCATGAAATTTGATGAGGTTTCCATTGAGATTGAGTCACTTTTCCATCAGGTTTGCATGCCACCCCAATGGGATTCCATGAAATTTGATGAGGTTTCCATTGAGATTGAGTGATATTAGGCTCGAATCTGGCTGATTAGGCAGGCATGGTCCAGCAATGGCATCTGGAACATCAAGCTCATCAGGCCTAGGCTCATGGGAGGAATTGTCAGTATCAGCTCTATCAGCTCACAATGAGGGGCTGGAATCAGATGAGGACCTGGCATCAGTTGGGCATGACTCTGCATATTGGGCCAACATGTACACAGGATTGGTCCATATTGGGAGGATGGAGAGGCCATTACAAGCTGAGGTCATTAATATCATTGGCAGGTTTGTTGGCCTATCCAGAGCTGATACATGGTGGGCATTGCCATTGGGTGGCATCACATGTCAGTTCTGCTCTCTGGCCAATGGTGGATATTCAGATACATGGACCATGATGGGCTGGCTCATTGCTTTTGCAGATGAGGCAGTGAGATGATGATTGGCCACAATGAGACTGTCTTCATTGAGACAGACATGTTTTAACATGATGCTATAGGAGAAAGTGATGGGCAGTGCATCAGTGCATGTGGCAGTGGTGAGGCTTCTGAGGCTCCCATATTGCTTTCCATGAGACTGTGGGATGTAGATTTTCATGAAATTTCCATTAGCCCCCATGAGTTTCCATGAGTTTACAGTGGGTTTCCATGAGGTTCCATGAATTTCGATGAATTACCATGCAGCTGTTGGCACTGGCATATCAAGAATCCAGCCATGAGTAGTACCATGCTGATGGGATTGGGTGCAATTGCTGTGATGGTTCTGGCTGTCATGATTATGCAACCAGTGCCATGACTGAAGAGAAGAGGAAACACATGTGAGAGTGTTGCATTCCAATGAAACCACCATGAAGAGTAGTCCACATGAGCTTCAGGAGATGATCCACCATGCCATCCTGTATGCCCTGATGGCCACTATGCCTGTCTGCTGCTATTTGGTATATTTGGGATTGATGATGATGCAAGAATTCCAGGTGGCTATGCAGCCCTGGGACACTGAAGCATGGGGGTGCATTGGGTGCATGGGTGCATTGCAGGACTGATCAGGCCCATGGTGGCATTGGATTTAGATGCTCAGCAGGAGAATCATCAGAATGAGAGGGTGGATATTGGAGAGTGGCTTGGATTTGTGCATGGGGGGGATGCCTGTGGTGCCTGGGGGGGTGGGGCATGAGTGCATGACAACAGCTGAGATTGGGCCAAGAACCATCAGGAAAAGGGCCACCCAGATGGCATGCTGGATGTTGGAGGAGAGGGATGGGAACTGGCATTGAGGATTATTGGTATGAGATATGTAGTGTGGCTGCACATGAGCATGGGAAGGGGGTGGGGAAGGGGGGATTGCATCACTGCATGGCAACTGAGGCTCCATTGTGGGTGAGGATTGGATGCATTTATATCAGGATGGTGCTGGCTGAGGATTTCAGTGCCCTGGCAACCATGCATGCATGATTCCATGAGCCCATGTGTGAGGCAGTTGAAACACCATGCCATGCTGACAAGGTGACATGAAGGATCAATACAATGATGCCTCTGCCAGCAATGCTGAGCTCTGTATGGAGATGCTGGCAAACCTGAAAACATGCATGGCAGATGGCATATTTTGGCCATATACAGGTGGCACTGATGAGTTCACTGGCATGATGCATGATGAGAACCCCCACAGTTACCTGGTAATTGGTTAGTTAATCAATCATGTGCCCATGAGAGCAAACCATGTGAGTTCCTTGCCATGAAAGCATGCTTCTGCCAATGTGAACTAAGGATGGAAGGATTGGATCAGGCATGAGTTCCTGGCCATCAAACCCTTGATGGTGAGTGAGAGGAGGGATGAAGTCATTGGCTTCATGAATGAACTGGACATATCATTAGAGCCATACTGGCATGCAGCGTCTATGGATGATGATTAATTAGCTGAGCATCATGAGCAAAAGAATGAAAATGTGCTGGGGGCATGAGCAAGGCCAATGGACCATGCAGTTGCATGTGCAGGCACTGATGGGCAAGCTTGGAATGTGAGTATGGCAGCACTTTGCAGCATTTTTGGCATCAAGCATTGGTAGCATTGTGTGCATCTGAAGCCATGGTGAGAATTGAGCCCATTCATTTGATGGCCATGGTGGTGGTCATGTGGGCTATCAGCTTGCAGGTGATGATGACCAATGAAGTGACTTGGATGCATCAGTGAACAAGCAGTGCATGCATGCATTGGAGAGAGAGATGAGTTAATGCATTGTCTGAGGGCATGATGCTGGCACTGGATTTGGCCATTGCCATATGCACATCAGCCTATGTGCTGCATGGGAGATTGAGGAAGTTGAACATGGCCTTGTATTACACCAATGACTATTTGATGCATTTGGATGGGAGGACATGGGTTGCTGTTGATGCATGCATGTGAATGTTGATGGATTTTGCATGTTTTCCTGGCAGGATGGCCGGCCAAT